CACTATGGTGAATATATGATTGGTTTATACACTATGGTGACTATATGATTCATTGATACAGTATGGTGACTATATCATTAATTAATACACTATGGTGAATATATGATTGGTTGATACACTATGGTGACTATACCTGGAGAGTTATGTTTCCCCGTGGTAAGATTCTTACACGAATCGCATTCAGCCTTCCGGAAACGTGATCCTGTAAACGAGTTTTAAAGCTGTAGAAATCAGTCAGTCGACAAAAAATCTCAAAATGCATCTTTTTTTACGAACGTCGACTACACTGAACTCCACTTCACCGGAAAAGTTGATTTCTTGTTCCTATGGAAAATAAAACAGCAACTGCATCACGACAAGCAATAATTTTGAGACGATCCTGCACTAACTGATAAGGCTTTAAATTAAATGATTTGAACCAGGGAGTACCTTTGCATGTGTGTAGATGTAGATTGTCCACGTTATGGAAATCTTGAGAAGAATTGTTGTTGTTGATGTTGACTGACGTTTCGACAACCTAAGCGGTAGTCATCTTAAGAGTGAAGCCTACAGCGAAGGTTGTCAATACTCTGGTTATACGGCTGACAGTCAACAACAACACCAACAGTCCTTCTCAGAACTTCACTAAACCTGGACGATCTTCATCTACAAACATTTAACGATACTTTAAACTAACATCAGCAAAGCTACTTTCTCCATCATTTATCTTGACATACTTTCACTGGCACATATCGAGCTTTACGTAGCAAACGATGTTCTAACGTGGTTAGAAGAGGTTGATTTGAAAGGTTTTTCCGCTTACGATTGCCATAATTACAAAACTCACCGCATCAATCAACTCGCTGAAATGAAAGAATAATCTTGTATCCCTATCGCAACATTGAATAAAGCTATACCCGTCTTTCAAAGCCGAAACAAACCCCTAACAAGGAAAAAAAATTATGCATTTAATGTATCCCTATCACAACACTGTATGAAGCCATAGCCGTCTTTCAAAGCCGAAACAAATCCCTAACAAGAAACAAAAATCATGCATTTAATGTATCCCTATCACAACACTGAATGAAGCCATAGCCGTCTTTCAAAGCCGAAACAAACTCCTAACAAGGAACAAAAAATTATGCATTTAATGTATCTCTATCACAACACTTAATGAAGCAATAGCCGTCTTTCAAAGCCGAAACAAACCCCTAACAAGAAACAAAAATCATGCATTTAATGTATCCCTATCACAACACTGAATGAAGCCATAGCCGTCTTTCAAAGCCGAAACAAACCCCAAACAAGGAACAAAAAATCATGCATTTAATGTATCCCTATCACAACACTGAATGAAGCCATAGCCGTCTTTCAAAGCCGAAACAAATCCCTAACAAGAAACAAAAATAATGCATTTAATGTATCCCTATCGCAACACTGAATGAAGCCATAGCCGTCTTTCAAAGCCGAAACAAACCCTAACAAGGAACAAAAAATTATGCATTTAATGTATCCCTATCACAACACTGAATGAAGACATAGCCGTCTTTCAAAGCCGAAACAAATCCCTAACAAGAAACAAAAATCATGCATTTAATGTATCCCTATCACAACACTGAATGAAGCCATAGCCGTCTTTCAAAGCCGAAACAAACTCCTAACAAGAAACAAAAATCATGCATTTAATGTATCCCTATCACAACACTGAATGAAGCCATAGCCGTCTTTCAAAGCCGAAACAAATCCCTAACAAGAAACAAAAATCATGCATTTAATGTATCCCTATCACAACACTGAATGAAGCCATAGCCGTCTTTCAAAGCCGAAACAAATCCCTAACAAGAAACAAAAATCATGCATTTAATGTATCCCTATCACAACACTGAATGAAGCCATAGCCGTCTTTCAAAGCCGAAACAAACCCTAACAAGGAACAAAAATTATGCATTTAATGTATCCCTATCACAACACTGAATGAAGCCATAGCCGTCTTTCAAAGCCGAAAGAAATCCCTAACAAGGAAAAAAAATTATGCATTTAATGTATCCCTATCACAACACTGAATGAAGCCATAGCCGTCTTTCAAAGCCGAAACAAATCCCTAACAAGAAACAAAAATCATGCATTTAATGTATCCCTATCACAACACTGAATGAAGCCATAGCCGTCTTTCAAAGCCGAAACAAACTCCTAACAAGGAACAAAAAATTATGCATTTAATGTATCCCTATCACAACACTGAATGAAGCCATAGCCGTCTTTCAAAGCCGAAACAAACCCTAACAAGAAACAAAAATCATGCATTTAATGTATCCCTATCACAACACTGAATGAAGCCATAGCCGTCTTTCAAAGCCGAAACAAACCCCAAACAAGAAACAAAAATCATGCATTTAATGTATCCCTATCACAACACTGAATGAAGCCATAGCCGTCTTTCAAAGCCGAAACAAATCCCTAACAAGAAACAAAAATCATGCATTTAATGTATCCCTATCACAACACTGAATGAAGCCATAGCCGTCTTTCAAAGCCGAAACAAACCCCTAACAAGGAACAAAAATCATGCATTTAATGTATCCCTATCACAACACTGAATGAAGCCATAGCCGTCTTTCAAAGCCGAAACAAATCCTAACAAGAAACAAAAATCATGCATTTAATGTATCCCTATCACAACACTGAATGAAGCCATAGCCGTCTTTCAAAGCCGAAACAAACTCCTAACAAGAAACAAAAATTATGCATTTAATGTATCCCTATCACAACACTGAATGAAGCCATAGCCGTCTTTCAAAGCCGAAACAAACTCCTAACAAGAAACAAAAATCATGCATTTAATGTATCCCTATCACAACACTGAATGAAGCCATAGCCGTCTTTCAAAGCCGAAACAAATCCCTAACAAGAAACAAAAATCATGCATTTAATGTATCCCTATCACAACACTGAATGAAGCCATAGCCGTCTTTCAAAGCCGAAACAAATCCTAACAAGAAACAAAAATCATGCATTTAATGTATCCCTATCACAACACTGAATGAAGCCATAGCCGTCTTTCAAAGCCGAAACAAACCCTAACAAGAAACAAAAATCATGCATTTAATGTATCCCTATCACAACACTGAATGAAGCCATAGCCGTCTTTCAAAGCCGAAACAAATCCCTAACAAGGAAAAAAATTATGCATTTAATGTATCCCTATCACAACACTGAATGAAGCCATAGCCGTCTTTCAAAGCCGAAACAAACCCCTAACAAGAAACAAAAATCATGCATTTAATGTATCCCTATCACAACACTGAATGAAGCCATAGCCGTCTTTCAAAGCCGAAACAAATCCCTAACAAGGAACAAAAAATCATGCATTTAATCACATTACACCAACAATAATTTTTAACATAGATCTTTAAGAAGAAACGAGTTTAAGTCGATTCTGTGCACTATAGTTATACATCGACATTCATAAAATAAAATGCTCAATGCCAATGCCCATGGAGCACAATGTTAGCGTTGTCGAAAATAAAAGATTTCCCAACAAAATACGAGAGATTGAAGACAGTAAAATACTTTGGACAAACCTTTATTTTCAACGATAAATTGTGAAAATTTAAATGCTTCGAGAGCAAGTATACCTTTTTAGGGAGGTACAACTTGAGGGGGAGTAAATTTTTGACGGGGTGGGTGGATAAAATACTCATAGACGAGGAGGGTAAAGGTCAAACCATAACTCAAAGCAATTAACATTTGCCATCACAGTGATAAAGGTAAACAATTTCCCGCTAAATTTGGAGAAATGGCTTCCTCATGACGCAGTCTAAACACTAGCAAATGTAAAGGAGAATTAAAACTTACTCTTTCTCTGACATTGCTGCTTTCCACTTCCTTGATGAGATGAATTTCCGTTGCTCTTCTTAAAGAATCACGACGATCTGCACGAAAAGAAGAGAGATGTATCGCTTGACTGAGTGGCTAAAAGATGGAAGCGTGCTTTATATTCCCGATATCACGGGGAAAATTTGTTAATTTCTTTCATTGTATGGACATGTTGCCATATCCAACTGGAAACACTCAAAGGAAAACTATAGTTTGAAAGCTTGGTTATTCTGTAAGGTACATACACGTTTGGTATTTTCTTCAAATGTTCAGACATGCACGTTAAGGTACTTATTCCCCTTCCAAATCAGGCGTAAGTTTCAAAAAATGAAAAAAACAATTTCGTTTGTTTTGGATACATTGAGTATTGTAGTTTATGATTTTGAAGTTTATTTTGTAAAATATTTCATCAAAATACTTGAAAAAGTAAAAAAACTGACACTGTTTAATAATTTGGGCCTTAGCAACGCCTTAGTAACCAAAAACGGCTTCCTAATATCCACCAAAAACTCTCTGAAACCATTTTCATTCCTTGCTACTTTTGACGTATGTTATTAACAAGGTCTTTCGGCTCGTTTTGTCGTAATTCTGTGGTAAATAGCTGTTTGGGGGATGGTATAAAGCTATAAAGAACAGCGTGGCGATCGGGAAGTGTTTTAAAGAATTGTCGATGGAGCACCCATTGATACAGTAACAAAGTTATTTTTAACTAAAATTAGATATGAGGCTGAAGTAGGGAGTAAAGTAAAACTTCGGATATAAGAGCCTAGATTTTAACAACCAATTAGGCTAATATTTCAGAAGGAAACTTAAACTGATCTAACTTTATTTATACTAGATATCTCTATCAGTTCTGAACAGTTCTTACTGTAAAGATCATCTCCTATTGATCCAGTGTTACTACAGAAAGAGACCTAAACTAAACTTTCTTTAGACTAAATATCTCTATCAGTTCTAAACTTTTCTTTCTAATGATCCAGTAAAGATCATATCTTATTGAACCAGTGTTACTACTAAAGGAAACCTAAACTAAATTAACTTTATTTTTACTAAATATCTCTATCAGTCCTAAACATTTCTTTCTTATGATCCTGTTAAGATCATATCTTGTTGATCCAGTGTTATTACAGAAACAAACCTGAACTAAACCAAGTTTATTTATGTTAGATATCTCTACCAGTTCTAAACTCTTCTTCCTAAAGATCCAGTAAAGATAAGCTCTTATTGATCCAGTGTTACTACAGAAGGAAACTTAAACTAAACTAACTTAGTAATTTAATATTTATATTTTGTGTACGATTCCCGCCTGGTTTATCGATCGTAACTTAATCTATATATACTAGATATCTCGATCAGTCTTAAACTGTTCTTTGCCTAGATCAACAAAATCATCTCTCATTGATCTTGCACATGTTGAAATAATACCAACAGTTACAACAAACCATATTTACCTGTAGCAATTTTAAAACCAACAACATCCCAAGTCAAGACGGTGAACTCCCCCAAGACATCTTTCTCCCAATATGGCAGCTGTGAACTACCATTGCTTGTGTTGTACAATATCACACCATTTAACGGTTCCTGTCTTTTTGTCCGACAATGTACTTTCTCGATGGTGCCTTGAAATGTGTCTTTGCTCACATCATCAAATTTCACTGTACCTTCTGGTAGACGCTCCACTGAGACTGCAACTTCTTTACCTGACAAAATAATTTGCCAAGTTTTTACAAACAAGTTTTACGAATTTCCAAAAATAAACTTGTTGCTGTCGTCCGCTATCACAAAAATACACCAGATGAGTCATGTGACTCGTTTGCAAACCGAAAATTTCCAATCCTACGTCAAATGCCAATCAGAAGTCATCATGTGTAAAATAAATTACAAATGATCAAATCGTATACATAAGTGAAATAACTGATAAAACTCATTTTGTATTAAACAATAAATTATCAATATTGATCTACAGGGAGCAAATGCAACGGCCCAAACACAAACCTCGTTCACTTTGTCAGCTCTGTCTTTGAAACCAAACGATTCCTTGAGCGAGCAGACAATTCCTTGAACGTAAACAGAAGGCGAAGCTTCGAGCAGCAACAACTCCACGCCACGGCATTGTCCATTTCTATAGAGGTTTATGAACTGTAGCAGTGCATCAAACAAACAACAATTTGGACATGGCTCGTAAATTGGACATGGTTCGTGTAAATAATAAACTAACGTTCATGTTATAAGCGTTAACCAAAGCAATTTCTTGTGTAAGGTAGCATATCAAAACGCAGAAATAAGGAGAAAGACTTCACCAAAATAGAAAGAACATTCTTAAGACTGTGCATTCATTGCTTAACCACGTAATGTAATGCACGTGATGAAGCACGTGATACAATCTAGAGAAACAGTACAAGCTTTCGACGCTATAGCAAAGAATATAATTTACCTTTTGTTTTCCATGATGTAAAAAGACACAGTAACACCTTTGTAGATGTGAGACTTTGATAAAACACCAGCTTGATAATGTGGAAGAAAAAACAATTCCTGAAAGAAAAGGAACAACGGTTAGAATCATAAAAATCCACCCCCTAACCGTGCAAACCTGTATTATGCAATGATCTTAAACTCCACCCCCTGATCATGCAGACGTTTACTATGCAATGATTTTAAGCACCACCCCCTGACCGTGCAAACCTGTATTATGCAATGATCTTAAACTCCACCCCCTGACTGTGCAGACCTGTATAATGCAATGATTTTAAACACCACCCCTGACCGTGCAAATCTGTATTATGCAATGATTTTAAATACCACCCCCAGACCGTGCAAATCTGTATTATGCAATGATTTTAAACACCACCCCCAGACCATGCAAATCTGTTTTATGCAATGATTTTAAACACCACCCCCCTGACCGTGCAAACCTGTATCATGCAATGATTTTAAACACCAACCCCTGACCGTGCAAATCTGTATTATGCAATGATTTTAAACACCACCCCCCTGACCGTGCAAATCTGTATTATGCAATGATTTTCAACACCACCCCCTGACCGTGCAAATCTGTACTATGCAATGATTTTAAACACCACCCCTGACCGTGCAAATCTGTATTATGCAATGATTTTAAACACACCCACCAGACCATGCAAATCTATATTATGCAATGATTTTAAACACCACCCCTGACCGTGCAAATCTGTATTATGCAATGATTTTAAACACCACCCCCCAGACCGAGCAAATCTGTTTTATGCAATGATTTTAAACACCACCCCAGACCATGCAAATCTGTATTATGCAATGATTTTAAACACCACCCCCAGACCATGCAAATCTGTATTATGCAATGATTTTAAACACCACCCCAGACCGTGCAAATCTGTATTATGTAATGATTTTAAACACCACCCCTGACCGTGCAAATCTGTATTATGCAATGATTTTAAACACCACCCCCAGACTGTGCAAATCTGTATTATGCAATGATTTTAAACACCACCCCCAGACCGTGCAAATCTGTATTTTGCAATGATTTTAAACACCACCCCCCAGACCATGCAAATCTGTTTAATGCAATGATTTTAAACACCACCCCCAGACCATGGAAATCTGTATTATGCAATGATTTTAAACAACACCCCCCAGACCGTGCAAATCTGTATTATGCAATGATTTTAAACACCGCCTGACCGTGCAAATCTGTATTATGCAATGATTTTAAATACCACCCCAGACCGTGCAAATCTGTATTATGCAATGATTTTAAACACCACCCCCCAGACCATGCAAATTTGTTTTATGCAATGATTTTAAACACCACCCCCCAGACCATGCAAACCTGTATCATGCAATGATTTTAAACACCAACCCTGACCGTGCAAATCTGTATTATGCAATGATTTTAAATACCACCCCCAGACCGTGCAAATCTGTATTATGCAATGATTTTAAACACCACCCCCTGACTGTGCAAATCTGTATTATGCAATGATTTTAAACACCACTCCCAGACCATGCAAATCTGTATTATGCAATGATTTTAAACACCACCCCCCAGACCGTCCAAATCTGTATTATGTAATGATTTTAAACACCACCCCCCTGACCGTGCAAATCTGTATTATGCAATGATTTTACCACCAGACCATGCAAATCTATATTATGCAATGATTTTAAACACCACCCCTGACCGCAAATCTATATTATGCAATGATTTTAAACACCACCCCTGACCGTGCAAATCTGTATTATGCAATGATTTTAAACACCACCCCCCAGACCGCGCAAATCTGTTTTATGCAATGATTTTAAACACCACCCCCAGACCATGCAAATCTGTATTATGCAATGATTTTAAACACCACCCCCAGACCATGCAAATCTGTATTATGCAATGATTTTAAACACCACCCCCAGACCGTGCAAATCTGTATTATGTAATGATTTTAAACACCACCCTGACCAAATCTGTATTATGCAATGATTTTAAACACCACCCCCAGACTGTGCAAATCTGTATTATGCAATGATTTTAAACACCACCCCAGACCGTGCAAATCTGTATTTTGCAATGATTTTAAACACCACCCCCAGACCATGCAAATCTGTTTTATGCAATGATTTTAAACACCACCCCCAGACCATGGAAATCTGTATTATGCAATGATTTTAAACACCACCCCCCTGACCGTGCAAATCTGTATTATGCAATGATTTTAAACACCACCCCCCAGACTGTGGAAATCTGTATTATCCAATGATTTTAAACACCACCCCCAGACCATGCAAATCTTTATTATGCAATGATTTTAAACACCACCCCCCAGACCGTGCAAATCTGTATTATGCAATGATTTTCAACACCACCCCCAGACCGTGCAAATCTGTATTATGCAATGATTTTAAACACCACCCCTGACTGTGCAAATCTGTATTATGCAATGATTTTAAACACCACCCCCAGACAGTGCAAATCTGTATTATGCAATGCTTTTAAACACTACCCCCCAGACTGTTCAAATCTGTATTATGCAATGATTTTAAACACCACCCCCTGACCGTGCAAATCTGTATTATACATTCATTTTAAAGTCCACCCCTGACAGTGCAGACCTGTATTATGCAATGAACTTAAACTCCACTCCCTGATCATGAAGAAGTTTATCATGCAATGATTTTGACTATTACATTTTCCCAGCTAATTGATCATGATGAAAATCACCTGTTTGGGGTAGCTGTGTCTCGACAACCTCGCCTCAACTTCCACTTTACCAACAACTCTTTCCTCGCTTTTTTCCTACAAAGGAAACATAAATGGATGATTCACCAAAAGACGATTTCTCAATTTCTCGTAAAACTTTGTAAACCAAACCAGGATGAACGTGCATACACTGCAAGCGTCAAAAAGTACACAACGTGTCAAGGTCACTTACTTCAAATGTAACAGAGCCTTGTTCCAATTTCACTACTCGACATGCAATTGGTTTACCCTAACGAGAATCTGATGTCCCTTCAAACTCCACACAGTCTAAACAAAAAAAGATTTAATCAACTATCAATATCAATCGAAATGTTCTTTACACTTCAGTTAATAGACCAGAGCAGTGGCCTTTGCAATAGCAGTAGAGACGACGGGATAGGCGGGGTGGGGCGGATGGTGAAGGATTACAGTGTGAAACTCCCCAACAAGTCAATGATCAGTGGTTTTTCTGACTAGGTAAATAAACAAAAGTTCTGTTTCGTTTTACCCCACAATAAAACAAAGACTACACATGAGTTTGAAAAGTTGTTTTAACTAACACTAACATTTGGACACACATTTTTTGCAGACAGAGTCCTTCAGAATACCCATCACATTCACATTAAAAAGTAAGAGCAGTGCAAGTTAGAATAGCAAAGAACACCCTCATACAACATCGTGAAGGCACGTGAATGCCACGTGTTGATAACATGAACTGTAGTGGGATTCAGATGGTGGAGATCAAATTTTAAAAGTATACCAACAAAGGCATGCCCTGGAATCTCCATAGATGGTAGGGAGTGAAAAGTCATATGAGGAAACCCAATGAATTACTTGACAAAGAATGCTTTTCAAATGATGACTGATGAAACAAATGCTCTGAATAACTGGATAAGCCCACAAAAACAGCTTGTTCCCCTTATTAAATAGCAGAAAGGCAACAAGCCTCATACTTGAATGAAATTATATCAACGTTTCAGAGAAACAATATAATACTAATGGTGTAGTTGCACACATAACAAGTAATATAAGAGTCGTTGAAGGGTGAAAATAAGCAAAATATACAAACCACCAAGTTCCATTTCACTTGAATGTCCTTTGTACTGACTGTAATGAAAGAACACTCGAAGATCCTGTTCAGCACACTCAATAAAGCCATATCTTTGCTGCAAAAAAGCATGCATAAATGTTATAGAAGAAAGACTGAATGTGCTTTTAGAGGGGATGAAATTAGGGAATATATATCAATAACATTATGGAAGATGTCATTAAACCACATGTTGATGTCAAAGCACTCATTGCTGGTCAAATGTAGTACAATACAGTCAAATGTAGATGAATGTATTCAAATGTGGTTGAATGTACACAAAAGTAGATGAATGTATTCAAATGTAGATGAATGTATTCAAATGTGGTTGAATGTACACAAAAGTAGATGAATGTATTCAAATGTAGATGAATGTATTCAAATGTGGTTGAATGTACACAAAAGTAGATGAATGTATTCAAATGTAGATGAATGTTTTCAAATGTAGATGAATGTTCACAAAAGTAGATGAATGTATTCAAATGTGGTTTAATGTACACAAAAGTAGATGAATGTATTCAAATTTAGATGAATGTATACAAAAGTGGTTGAATGAATTCAAATGTGGTTTAATGTCCTCAAACAGGGTACAAATTAATATTACACAAATGGGCATGTGAATTTCAGTTGAAGGTATTTTCACAATCTTAGGTTAAAAATTGATACAATATCTGTCATGTTGGATTTAAGTGCCTATGTCGAATAATGGGACTTGATATCATTAGAATTATCTTAAAACATAGATTACTGGGGCAAACAGTCCAAATGCAAGTTTCAATAGAAAGCTTTTCAAATTGACCAGAACAAAAAATAAGACACCAAACAGTGCAAAACGGTTACAGCTTCCTCTACAAAGGCTATTGAAATCAAAAACATTTTTGGCAAACTTTTAGATATCATGCAAAAACACTTTTAGATGAACAAAGTGACTTATTTTTTGTGTATTCAGAAACAAGTTTTTTGGTCATAGATAAATTTTTTACTTCTTCATGGTACATCTTATTTTTATCTTGCAGGAACTTACTCTACAAAAGTAACACCTTTGTAAAAACAGCAGAATCTGCAGCAAACTTTTGCATTTCTCAATGTCACATAATGATTCATGAAAAAATTTAAAATAGTTGAGAAGCATTTTTTTTTGCATTAATTTGGGTCCTTGACCAGTGCATAAAAACTTCATACTAAACTGACTTTGAATTGTTAAAATAACTTACACAAAATTTTTCAATGACACCTGTTTCCCTGTGTAATACATGAACACCATTTGAAAGGTAATGGTCACTGATACCATAGTCCTGAGACCCATTTGTTCACATAGAATGTTTCTAAGTAGTAAAAAAACATTATAGAATGTTTCTAAATAGTAAGAAAACATTATAGAATGTTTCTAATTAGTAAGAAAACATTATAGAATGTTTCTAATTAGTAAGAAAACATTATAGAATGTTTCTAATTAGTATGAAAACATTATAGAATGATTCTAATTAGTATGAAAACATTATAGAATGTTTCTAATTAGTAAGAAAACATTATAGAATGTTTCTAATTAGTATGAAAACATTATAGAATGTTTCTAATTAGTATGAAAACATTATAGAATGTTTCTAATTAGTAGGAAAACATTATAGAATGTTTCTAATTCGTAAGAAAAGGTTATAAAATGTTTCTAATTAGTAAAAAAACATTAACAGCAAAATGAAATGAAAATAAAATTTTCATAAACAAAATGCAGTAGAAAGTACCTTCCATGAGTCTGTTGCCATATTTGATTCACCAAAAAGAGAATTCTATTTGTTACAAAGGATGCCAGCAATTTGAATTATAACTTTTTGCAAAATAATATATATGGTATATGTATAAAAATTCTCCTCTCAATTTTCCTAAATCACCGAATAATATAATCCATTTGCCGAACAAAAACAGGAGGCACAAATCTGCTGTGAATATTTAAGATTGTTCCGTGTAAGCTATGACTTGCCAATATGAAAGTTTCCTTAACATGGGCTGTGCAAGATGATATGGATTTGGCGGCTTTCTCTATAGAATTTGAATTGGCGTTTCCTCATCTTTTTCTGCTTTGCAGACATTTATTCCTAGCAAATAACCAGAAAAAAGTAATTTAACACATTTCTTTAAATATATCATTTGCTCATCATCTAATAACATGGGACATTCAATTACATGTTTTGACTTATCAATAGTGCTGTAGAATATTTATCATCAAGAGCAGCAGTTAACAATCAATAGCACAACATGTATATACATACTTTGTAAGAAAAGAGAAGTGCAGTGTCGTGATTGCAACAGACAAATGTGCAACAGTTTATACCTGTTACAACAGACTATCTGTTGCACAACATATACATTTGTTTATTTAAATGTCTTCTTATCCAAATGATTCAAACTTTTCTTGAATTGAATGCGCATTAATGCGACTTGAATATTAACAATTGCTAAGCAGTATAAATAAATGCTATTGTCTACTGGAGCTCTTGATTCTTCCTTCAAGTTAATGAACATTCTACTGTTCTACTGTTAAGTAAAATAGCATAATTGAATGTTCAATCTTCTTTAATAATGAGCGAATGGTGTAGCAGGAGTAACAAGTGACAGATCCCACAAAATACTTTACAATAGTGAATAGTACGGAATGAAGACACTGCACTGGATTTCTTGTGATAAAGACTTTAATTATTATATATAGCAACATAGCCATTGTAATTATACAAAAGATCAATCTACACTAAAACTGGAACAGATAAGGATATAAGTTTCGACATCAAATCAATTTCCACAAGACACTAAACACCAGACAAAAAAATATGTTAAAACTTTCAACATGAATCACATCAGATAAAAGCGACTCATAATTTTGAAGTCAAACATACAAATATCATGTCCATATAAATCAGACAAAAGACACGCTTTTATTTGTATTTTTAAAAGAGTCGAGGCACATCTAAAGTTCTTTTTCAATTTGGAAATTCAATGCTGAAATTCACTTCTTGAAGACATCAAATATCAAACGAAAAACTTTTTCATCAGAATATCAAATTGCTTGTCAGTCTTTGTTTCTTAATTTATTTCAATAATGGTCATTTGAAGAAACTGTAGCGTATAGTTTTAATTAAATTGGTTGCCGCAAAAGCAAAAAACAAAAGGAAGAATACGAATAGCACACAAATACAGGCAAGGAGAATATTTTGCCGTCTGCTGAGTCTTTGTTAATCGGCTTTGTCTCGAAACATGGTGACTAATGATTGTCAATTTAAAAGGTCAAATTAACGCCAACGGAGTACAAGGTGAACAAAATGTAATGAAATATTTAAGAACTGACAATTGATATTGAAAAGAAATCAATACCTTTTGAGGACAAAATTTCGTCCGTAACCACAACACTATTCAAATTTTTACAATCCGCCATATTACATGATATCAGTGAACTCTTGAAAGTTGAAACACCGGGCACTTCCGGTCATCTGTATATGTGACGTTTAACCGGAGATACTCGTGAGAGGGTCGGCTATGTTTTCCGTGACTATAGCCTGATTCGCTGTTTCGCACAAGTCTTCAATACCCTCATAAAGATACCTTCATGTTTCATTGTAATTGCCCCGTATTTCTGTATTTGTAACAAGTTGATATTTTCCGTAAATAAAGCATAATTCGAAAGCAAATGTAAATATGGCCGCGTTTAAACAGAGATCAATCTTTCGGTGGTGTTCAGGCCGGTGTAGAAAAACGAGGAGAGGGTTAACAACAGACTATTCATTAACGATTTGATTGTCACCAATTAACTTGAAACCACTCGGCTCCTTCCTTAGTATTCAACCAAAGGATGTGTTTTGCAATAGAGCTTTCTGACACATACATTTTTCATGTTTTTTAAAATGTCAAGTCGTTGCTTCCAACCCATTTCTTCTTCTTCGTTAATCACTAATCTACAGCCGAAGTACAACGTTCCTAGCACTCTCGCAATCAAATAATCAGGAAATTCAATTAACTCGAAAATTTTGGATATTTTCTATGAATATCATCATGACGATAAGAAGAGAAAACAAGAAAGGACAAGAACATGCTTTAAAGTACCATTTTTTTTAAACTAACAAAGTTGGTAACAAAGTAAACTCCATCCACTAAAACTTCCTGTTTCCTACGTCAGGTAAATTAATGAGATGACAGTGTGTACATATTCATACATATTCCACAAACTCCAAAATACATGAATGTATCAAAATCCCCAAGAAAAATAAATTACTGAGCATGCTACGCCACTGTTTATTTGTAATTTAACTTTATTTCTTATTTAATGTATTTAGATAAAAATTATTACAGCCGTTATCCTATTTCAAATATTGACTACATCCTTAGTCTAAAAATTTGATGTTATGTTCCAAATTGTTTTCAAATACTGTTCAGAAACATTCACTCTCGTTCACACTTATAGTTAAAAAGGAAATAAAATTCTATGCTTAAAGTGCTTATCTCACAATTCTTTTTTCGAATTTTCGTATTGCTTCTTCAAAAGTAATCTAAAACTTATATTACAATTTTTTCATGCGCTGCATTGTTTTCGAATTATTATTGATCAAATATGAAATTTGACAGTAAAAGTTGATAATTGGCATAGGGCCTGGATCAAGTCTCTGTGACGTAACTTAAGGAAAAAGTCAAGCGCTTGTTATCAACGATTAGATGGCGTAGTTGAATTCTGATTCGGAAAGCTCTCATAGTTCGCAATGTGATTCGGAGTATGATTATATTCCCGGTTATGTCATCGAAGATGAAACAAGGAACATTAATGACCAGGAATATAATATAATAGATGAAAAATATTTGAAGTATTGCTCTTTAGACATCAATAAATTTCCCTTATGCAATTGAAAGCAAACACAAACCTGAAGACTTGTGCTTTTGAGCAGTTGCTGCCACTGGACTCCAGTCAGTGGAATAATAATCACCCTGAAACGAAGTGAACATTTATATTTGAATAAAAATTGCAGCAATCAATGCAGATGAAAATGTATAAAAAATATCGCACCTGATCATTAATGAAAATGCGCTGAAATATTTTGTAGTTAGTGCCAATCTTCAACGGGCCATTATAATAATTTTCACCAGTGGAACGCCATGTTGTGGTTTCACCGTCACCAAGTATAAAATACGGCATTGGTTGTGTGGAAGATATGGCGTTAGAATAAGTCCCTAAGTCTGTGTTTTTAAAAATAGAAGGCAGTCGACTCTCTTCTGTGACATTTTTCATCGCGACTACATAGAAATGTCTGCAAGTTGAAGGCAAAACATTTTTTAAAAATACATACATAACCTCTGCTTTCGTTAAAATATATGTTATGCATGTATCTGCACTGCCAGAGAAAAGCAACGAGTCATCAAAACTTTTCCAGAGAGATATTTAGCTTTTCCAGAGAGATATATATGAGCTCACCCTCTTCAGCAGTTCTAAAAGTAGCTGTAGTTGATCTACCAAAGCCTTTAGAATTGCCAGCGGTTACATTAACTTTATACGTTGCGTAAGGAACAAGATTCGTAATGTTGTACGGTTTTTTGTCAGTTACCTCTAAAGTTTTATCGAAAACAATCATAGTATCCTTCAGCAAAATCAATAGATATCTTGTAAGAGGATTCGAGATATTTGTACCAAGTTTTACACCAGTTTTTTGGGGATGTTTCCATGATATCTAGAGGTACGTCGATGCAGATTTGGTTGCAATGAGATCTGTTGGTTTGTCTGGAAATAAGTCTGCACGATAAAAGAAAAATCTACAAATTGAACCATGTGTAGCCCTTAAATGAAATCAGTCTTTCTGCTTTTTCTTCAATAACACGTGTTAAACTTAACTGCATGTCGAAAAGGCTTCTTTCAATAAGTTTATTTCATTTGAGAAAAAAGACTAACACTTCAGCCTTCATGGAAAATTGTTCACTTTTGTCAACTAACACTTATTTAATTAATTCTCAGAGAAAAAAATTTATATATTGAGTAATTAAGTCCTTACAGTGCAAAGTAAGCCTGGTATATTTTTTCCATCTCTTACCTCCACCACAAATTTCAATTCGTAAACACGGTGCACCAACAAATTTCAATGGAAAGATTCGCAAAGCTTTGGATTTAAGGCCACCAGAAAACTTTTCTATAGCCGCATCATTGTAACCATTTTTGTTTCCTAGATAAATCTGGAATAAAAAAAAAAAAGATTTTCGTGTATTTGCAGAGCAAGGTTAGAGAAAAGAAAGGTTTGTTTAACGCTGTCCAGAGGAGAGTAGTTTATGCATTGTCTATGTATCTCTTCAAATCATGCACATAGCTACAATTTAAACTTTATAATCAAATGCAAGAGTCCTTCGTAGTGCAGGAGTAACCAAGACAATCAACACAGTAACGTAGCTAGCCCACAAATTTGGTCGTGCTATATGTAAATTTCTCAGAGCTCACTAACTGTAAAAAAAATAGATCTCTAAAGAAATGAATAATGATAATGATCTGAAATTTACATAGAACCAGCAATTTTGCGTGTCGGCTACACCACCGAATCAACATCTGCACACAAGTTTGTATATAAATAGCAATTTAAAAGTTTACTTAGTTTATAACATCATTCCTTTTTTAAATTTCCCATTAAATTTATAATATACAAATTCGAAAATTCTACCCTTACCTTCTGGGATTTTTCAGATTTCCAGTTCACACCATCAATGTTTGTCTGCAAGTGATATTTAGTTACAAAGCTTGAACTTGAACTGTCTCCAAAGATTGCGATAACGTTAACTGCATAAAGACTTGGGAAATTCAGTTGAAAATAATAATTGCCATCTGCAGCAGGAGCACACCATGAACTACCACTGGATATTCTTGCTTTGAAGCACTACGACTCTTTGGGAAGGCAGTAAACCAAGAATCTGGGAATTTTTCTGCGTTTTTTAATAGAGGATTATCACAAACATGACCTTAAATAGAAAAGGGATTTTGTTGAAATTCATTACAACATTAGAACTGGTTTGATTTGATAGAGAGCAATGATGCAATGCCATATTGTTCTCCATTCACAAAAAGTCGCAAAAATTAAAAATTGTTGTCTGAAGAAAGAGAAAGAGAAAGAGAGAGAGAGAGAGCACAAGAAGTATTTGAGGAATACGCCTGATTTTGCAATGGTTTTATTAAATAAGGTTAAATTCCAGTTGGAATCAAGCCAGCTATGACAAGAAAACGTAAGTATCTTGTCTAATAACAGCAATACGGTAGCGATATAAATTCCATTAAAGAGTGAACGTCAATCGTATTGCAGAGGAAGAATGACAATTGGACATTTTTTGAAGCACGAAATGAACTAGCAAGAATAAAACTAATTTAATCTCCAGTATTCGCAGCAACCCTGTCTGAATTATTCATTATCCACGAGTAGCAATCGTTTATATTTTGATATATTTGTAATTGAATAATTGTGAAATTCTCCAAGTTAGCGTAAAATACAGTGACACCACGATGACAGATGTAAGTCTTGATGATAGAGGTAAGTCATGATGCTTAACAAAAGACAGATGTAAGTTGAGAACACAAAAGTAACTTATTTATTCCTTAAATTCTTCGCTCAAAACTTTTTCTAACGTCATACAAATGTGTCCTACAATACGTTGAATAGAAGAGGTACACAAAATTCAGTACTTGACATTGGCAAGTACTCATGTGTATAATGTAACCTCAAGTACTCACGTGTATAGTGTACGGTCAAGTACTCATGTGTATAGTGTACGGTCAAGTACTCATGTGTATAGTGTATCCTCAAGTATACATGTCAATCAACATAACGTCTCATCGTTTTTTTCTAAATCAATGTTGTCCTACAACAATATGTTTACAAAATCTTTGTGTTTGAGAGTAACAACGAATGAAAACTTTAAACATACAACATAAGTATTTGTAAACACTAAATGATAAAAAAAAATTGCTTACCTGTTTTTTAAAGACAAGAAAAGCAAAAGTAAAAGCAAAACTTTGTCGTTCGCCATTTAAAAAAAGTTACAATTTGCATGCCTTCATCGAAATGAATTTGTAAAAAATCGAAAAACGCAATTTCTCCATGTACAAATAATCAAATCTTTAAAATACAAATCTTTTTTTGACAATTGTCAATTGGCTAGCGTATAAACTTAACTGTCTCGATGACACTGAAGAAAATACTGCAGTGTTGATTTGAAACAAATTACTCAACAGGAGATTTTAAGATGATATCAATCCATAGACATATCGGCACAATGCCGCATTCTTTAAAGGTACAAAATCCACTTCTTCTTAAGATCACGTGATCACGAAGATTCTTTAATGATTTCTAGTCTTCTCGGCCCGTATAGCAACACATATGCACAATGCCAGTCACCTAAAGGACAAACAGCCTTAACCAAGGATCATTAAAATAAACCAGACATTCAAATAAAATCAAAGCTATTTTGTATGACATAGAAGTGGGGTGTTGCAATTGTAGAAGACTATCTGCGATAGACTATTTCTGTTGGGAAAGACGTCTTTCGTGCAAAGTATATACATGTTTATTTGATTTTATGGAATGCACGTTAATGCTACTTGAATATTCCCTATTGTTATGCTATGCGGCATAAATAAATATTATTGATTTTCGACTAGTGCTCTTGATTATTCCTTCGCGCTAATGAATTTTCTAAATGACTATTGATAAGTCAAAGCGTGTAATGGAATGTTCAATGTGCTCCAATGATGAGCAAATGATGTATTAAAATAGACTAGATTAAAACTATTTAAGAAATAAAAGATTTTTACTGTGTTTACACAGGCTTATGAAAACCGAGGAGACCTTTGGGAGAACTCGAGAGAAGATCAGTGCAAGCCCGAGACCGAAGGTCGAGAGTTGCACATGCTCGGGATTTTGTTTCGCTTTCGTTTCAACGTCTCAATTGACGAAGAAACCCACGCAAAATAAGTCTTTTCCAAGCTGAAAAGTTTTAGCCGGCATGAAGAAATTTAACATTACATTTGAAAGAATGTTTAGACATTGTGATACGATATTGATTGCAATATATATAAAAATTGCAATATCATTGAGAGGCTCTAACCCAAACACAAAAAGGAGCAAAAACATGATCATAAAGCATTGATAAAATTTTCAAAGAACCCTTCCTCTAAATTCAACTAAAACTTCAGCAGCAAATACCTAACACAATGATAATCACCATTAAAACTTAGGCAGAAGATGATCTTACCTCCCCCGGATAATTTCAAAACATCTTCTTCAGTAATGTGCGTTATTTTATCGTCGTCGCACTTAATCCAAGAGTCTAAAATATAAAGTAAATGGTTTGAACCCGGGGTATAGCTACATGTTTGTGGATGTAGATGTAGAGAGAGAGAAGACTCTTGTTGTTGAATGATGACTAAAGTTTCGACAACCTTCGCTCAAGTCATCAAATGTCAACGTTGAATAGAACACAAACAACAACATTCAACTCACAAGTACAAAAGTGTATCAAACTCATGTGCACAAAGTGTATAGACATTACATGTCAATCAACCGTTCATCGTTTTCAAATCACCTACAACAATATGTTTACAAAATCTTTGTCAAAATTTTAAACGATTTGTAAAAAAAGATAAACTTAAAAGACAAGGCAAGTAGAAAACTTTGTCGTTCGCCCAATTTGCACCTTCATCGAAATGAATTTGTAAAAGAACGCAATTTCTCCATGTCACAAATCTTTAAAATACAAATGATTGTCAATTGATATAAACAACTATGACACTGGAAAATACTGCAGTTTGATTTGAAACAAATTACTCAACAGGAGATTTTAAGATGATATCAACCCATAACATATCCACAATGCAAAAGGTACAAAATCCACTTCTTCTTTCACGTGATCACGAAGATTCTTTAATGATTTCTAGTCTTCTCGGCCCGTATAGCAACACATATGCACAATTCACCTCAGCCTTAACTCATTAAAATAAACTTCAAATAAAATCAAAGCTTTTTCACATAGAAGTGGCTTTGAAGGCGATAGACTTTTCTGTTCGTTTTCGTGCAAAGTATCATGTTTATTTGATTTGGAATGCACGTTAATGCTTTGAATATTCAATGCTATGCAGAACTACTCTTGATGGTAATGAATTTTCAAATGACTATTGTAAGTCCGAATGGAATTCAATTGCTCCAATGATGAGCAGATTATTAAAATAGACTAGATTAAAATTATTTAAGAAATGATTTTTACTGTGTTTGCACAGGCTTATGAAAACGGAGACCTTTGGGAGAACTCGAGTTGCAAGCAGACCGAACGAGCATGCTCGAGATTTTGTTTCGCTTTCGTTTCAACGTCTCAATTGACGATAAGTCTTTGAAAAGTTTTAGCCGGCATGAAGAAATTTAACATTATATTTGAAAGAATGTTTAGACATTGTGATACGATATTGATTGCAATATAGCAATATCATTGAGAGGCTCTAACGCAAAACATGATCATAAAGCATTGATTTTTCAAAGAACCCTTCCTCTAAATTCAACTAAAACTTCAGCAGCAAATACCTAACACAATGATAATCACCATTAAAACTTAGGCAGAAGATGATCTTACCTCCCCGGATAATTTCAAAACATCTTCTTCAGTAATGTATTTTATCGTCGTCGCACTTAATCCAAGAGTCTAAAATATAAAGTAAATGGTTTGAACATAGCTACATGTTTGTGGATGTAACAGACTCTTGTTGTTGACTTTTCGACAACCTTAGCTCATCTTCATCTAAGGTTGTCGAAACGTCAGTCAACACCAACAACAGTCATTCTCAAGAGTCTAAAAATATAAACAGAACATAAAAGTGCATTGCATCCCAAAATTAGTTACAGACATTGATTACACAACTTAAGCGCATGTTTTCATACTCAAAAGTCGGACAAAATTACGATTGAAAAAAGAGAAACTAAAGGAGGAAGTAGAAGCGCCCCACCTACCACGTGTAAACTAACACCTGTCATTTCAAGACATGATTAATGATATTAAACGGACGTTTGCTGCCCACACAGATTTATTTAATATAAGACCAATGCAAGGATTCCCTTCATTCCACGTCCATCGTTTCCACGTTTTACTTCATCATTCTCTTCGTTTGAAAAGTTTTTCACAAAATGGCTTTGAGTTTTTCTGTCATGTTCTGCTTCAGTGTATTCGATCTGGGTAAGTTGTTGGAATTTAAATCATCACGAACAAGTGAACACTTTGTGGTAGAAATTCACTCGAATTGTCCAAGTTCTTTTGTCTTGAAGTTACTTTGATTTGAAATGATGATGACGCCACAGTTGATGCAAAACAGCAAACGGACATTTTAGATTCTTTGTTCAATGATTTTTAATACGTAACTCGTGTTTGCATGAGACTTGTCTCTACGCAAACAAATACTTGGTTTCAACTTAAATCATATCAACTTTCATAAAACGATGTTCAACCGTGACTAACAAACATACATTACACTCAGTAATGTAGCTAAAATACATCAACCCTAACTAAGCAGTTTACCACAACGTAATCATCCCAGTGAATTAAAACTGGCGCTCATTCTCGAAAGTAACCGCTTGCCACATAGTAACCGTACTTAATGGAACCAAAAGGAACCACCTCTTACAAAACAAAGTTTTTCGTGAGTAAAATAGGCGAGTTCTTACAAGAACAAATGATGAGATAGAGCGTTTATAATCGAATTTCCTTCTTTAGCTTGTCAAAGTGTTTCAAAATCGTTGTTCGTCAGTCAAAATGGCGATCAGACGTCCTTGTCGAACGATCAGACACGCCATAACGATTGCAAGGCCTGGTGAGAAGATTCTCATTGAATATGCGCACAAGCCATATGACGAATGCCAAGATTCAAGAACAGTTACATATCTTAACAAGTCCCTAACGTTCATAGGTCACAAAGGCAAACCGACAATTGAATGCAAAAGAGGAGCTCAATTATTCAAAATACCATCACTGAATGAAAAGATCACCATAAACACGACGAATTTGATTCTGATATCTTCAAACTCGGTCATTCGCTGCGATAAACGATCAAGATTCGCACTTTACATCAGGAACTGCGTTTTCCGAGTTTCCAATACAGCAATCGCAGCAAAATCAGCTCACGATTGTTCCATCACGATCCTCAAGAGTACTTTTATGGTCGTACGTATCCATCGGCGTCAATGAGTTGTCTAAATCTAACAGCACATCTTGTCGACAGTACGTTTCGCGCCAGTCCTGTCTCTTCGAACAATTATGGAAAAAGACACTCTACGTTCAACATACGACCGTTTTCGTGTCAAACTGTCATTTTCATGGCGAGCAAAAGAAAATGTGCGGATCGCTTCTACAAATATTGCCAATGGCAGTCTATAGTAATGTCACAATTGTAAGCAGCAAATTCACAGATCATTTTGGAATATGCACTGGAACTAAAACAGGAAATACGCTTTATATCAAGGGGAACAAGTTCGCAAAGAAACGAAAACAAACGCTTATTCATCTAAATAACCTAACACTAAAAGACAACCGTTGCACAGGAACAATACTTCGACTTGAGCCGCTGCAAAAAAAAGTAGATATCTTTGATGTTGTTGTTTCTAATTCGTTATTTGAAAACACATCATCCGTTTTGTACGTTTTTTTTGATCGTTCGCGTGGTGGCCTTCGAGGCAAAGCTGTACGTTTCGTCAACAACACTTTCATAAACACGCATAAATATCGCTCAAGTCGTTTTAACAATCTCCATTTAAATCCTGGAAAATTTCTGTTCACAAAATGCACGTTTATCGATAACTATGGCGGAAATGAGCCCAACGATGCTGTCATTGTCGTCTCTTCATACAGTGTTTCCGTTATATTTAGAGACTGTTATTTCGAGAACTCGAATCCTGCATCGTCCTCGACTCTAATCTTTTCACAAAAAAAGAACTTCGTGGTGTTTCAAAAAAACAACACGTTTAATATCACCGCGACTCAACATGAACTAAACGTCATCGCGTACATTTTCACGAAGCCCGATAATGTACGTCGTTTCCGTCTTCAGGACAACTTCAAGATCCTTTGTCCCTACGGATATGTGATGTCCAAAAAGATGTTTTGCCACGAGGTCAAAAATAAGGCATACGTTGAATGCAACGAGTTCGTGGTAAAATGTAAACCATGTCAGCGGAATACTTATTCGGTAAGTCGTGCGATACTTCATAACAATATCACCAACAGTATCAATTGTCAGGACTGCGCGAATGGCGGTCAATGTTACAATGGTCGCCTGACAGCAAAGCCAAACTACTGGGGATATAAAGTCAACCAATCAGTCCGCTTCATACGATGCCCACACGGTTACTGTTGCCAAGGCAATGACTGCGTCACATACAGTAGTTGCCATGGAAAGAGACAAGGTAAAATTTGCGGGAATGCCCGCATGGCATGTCGGTATCGTTGTTTTCTGCAGCATGCATTCCAAACGCTAACTGCGGTCATTATGATGCTATTCTCTTTGGCCTCGGCTACTGTATCGTTTATTTAGTGTTTTTTCTCTACCATAAAGAAATAATTCGATTTGTCAAGCGAATTTTTTTCACTTCCTCCAAAGAAACCAACAGCGGATTGTTGAAGATCGTATTCTACTATTACCAAATCAGCCGTTTCTTGGTGAGTCCAACTAATTTTGAATCCCGTCAAACAGCCATGACGGAAGTACGTAATAAGATCGGAGAAATTTTCAACTTCATCATCATGAGTATTCCATTCCTGGAATGTCCAATTCGTGACCTTAATGACGTCACAAAACAAACAATCCTTCACTCGCTGGGCTACGTCCTTCTCACATTTCTTGCCGTGCTGTTCACGGCAACAATTTTAAAAATTTCGTCTGTAAACGCTTTAAATCTTACACGTCACGAGACATCCCGTTTTCCATCGAGACTGATGCAAGAGACGACGGAAAGACCAAAGTTTCGAGGCGCGCATTGCTTCAGCATATACGCTCATCTCCCTCCTTATGTACGCATCATCCACTCAACTCTGTTTATCCTTGCTGCATTGTGTTCCATTGGATGATGAGCAAGTTCTCCACATTAACGGCAACGTTAAATGTTATCAGCTATATCAATATATTTTCCTGGCATATTTCATAACATCCATACTGCCGTTTTGTCTTGTTCCTGTTCTCGGATCGCACCTTCTACGACTTGAAAGATCACCGTCAAGCACTTCTGTATCGCTTGCCTCTTCCCTCTACCCTTCTGCTGCTATTGGCTGTATCTATTCACAAGGATACGCGGTTTCACGAGAATGGGACAACATAACAACGACCATACGATGCAGGATATATGTGAGATAAACACGAACAATGAAGAAACAAACATCGAATGTCATACCGCAAAGAGTACGAACAGTATTTCTAGGATACTTCATGTCTTACAGGGTCCATTCAGACTTTATAAAGCCGATGAATGTTCCACAACTTCGCGCATACCGTGGGAAGGATTTCTCATCTTTCGTAGACTGGTTTTAATTGTCGTGCTGACTTTTCTCTACGATGTTAAATTACGAATGCTGGTCGCTTTAACGATCTGCGTGGCGATATGTCTTTGATATGTCACATGCTGGTGTTCCCCTTTCAGACCAAACGCGATAATATCGTGGAGTCTATCTTTTTAGCTATACACGTTATTTTATGCGGGATCACTTTGGTCAAGACTCTTTATCATGAAGAAGGTAACGGTTCTTATAATGCGGAGAAACTCCTCGCGTTGGATGCAATACGAGATATAATTATACTTTCACCGAGGTTGATTATATTAATGGCTGTTATTCTTTCACTTGTTATAAAGATCTCGAATGGATTAAAATGTTTTGCAACGGGCTTGTTTAGAAAAATAAAACGCACAGGAAATTGATGTAACGTCAGACTTGACCTTTACGAAAAAAGCTCGCAGCAACGAGACATATGTTGACGATATAAAAACAAAAGCGAAGCTCGCGAATCTTTTGTGTTTAAACGTTTGAATCGAGGCGTTTATCATCCCGATGCAATATGTTTAGTACCTAAGTTCAGATGGGTTGAAGAAAGAAACTATAGTCCAATGATATAAGACTTTTCTTTCTATTACACCCTTTGATCCATGCAATATAATAACCTTTACTCACTGTTACTCCCTTTGATCCATGCCACATAATGACCAGATGACGATGATCGTCCTTGATGAGTCAGAACAGCTTGCAATTGGTAAAAACCACTGTTATTAGAGCCAGTGTCTGAAAATCAAAGAAGGATAAAAAAGGTTCATGCATCGATAACGAGGGATCCGGTACTTCATACATGAATAGCATGGGTAATGTAATTCATGCATGGACGAGGAGGATAATCTACTACACTCATGGATGTAATGGGTAATGCACTTGATGCATAGATGAGGGTAATCTACTACATGCATGGATAAGAAGGGGTAATGTACTTGATGCACGGTGACAGAAGACAAATTGAACACTGCTTATAATTTTTGTAATTCGAAAGAAATTTATGCATTTAAAGAACAATACTATTATTTTAAATATATCAGAAAAAGATTACATCAAGATAATATACAAAATTAAGTATGAAAGATTTTAACGTATGAATCTACTGGTCATTAAACCAAGAGTAAAAAACTAAAAGTGACATTTTGTCGTTTCCTCAACTGCGTCAGTTTTTACGACACAACGTTTTTCAAGAGCTATTTGCAAATGTTTTGGCTTAAGAATAGAAGCTGTATTCGTCATATCAGCTTCCACTCTCTGATACTTCATTTTTAGACACAACGTTTTTCAAGAGCTATTTGCAAATGTTTCGGCTTAAGAATTGAAGCTGTATTCGTCATGTCAGCTTCCACTCTCTGATACTTCATGTTTACCAATGTCATACGGTAACAATATAACATCCGGGCAATGACATCGAACACAACCATCTTCGCGAGAGTCTCTCCGACACAAACACGACTGCCTGCCGAGAATGGAAGCGTCGAGAAAGGCGGTGGTGTCGAATAATTTCCACAGCTATTCAAAAATCGGGCTGGCCTAAAGACATGCGGGTCATGCCAAGTTCTTGCGTCATTATGAATAGCAAAGGCATTTACGATAACAGTCGTGTCTTTAGGAATGTGAAAACCGTTAATTTTTGCATCGGATGTTGCCCTATGGGGTAGAAGTAAAGGTACAATAGACCCATATCTTAACGTTTCTGTGATGCTTGCCCAGAGCAAAGGTAGTCGATGACGGTCGGAAAATGTCGGGGGAGAATCGGGGCCTAGAGCTTGCATCATCTCTTCGTAAATCTGATCTTGTATATCTGAATGAAAAGCCAAGAGATACAGCCCCCACGTGATCACTGACGTCGAGGTTTCAATTCCCGCTAGAAAAATATCTTTTATCATACAAGTTATTTCTTCCTTCGTTAAAATGACGTCATTACTCTTACTATCCATGATGTCATCTGATTGCTTCTGAAACGCATGCGTCAAATCATAGTCTTCCACTGGATTTGCGGTTTCGTGCTCCCCGTATATTCGCAAAACAATCGTGTCCAAAAGATTAGTGGCCGACTTAAGTTTAATCACGCTCTTCAAAGGCAATCTCCTTAGCAACGGGATGGCATCAATGAGGTTGCCAGGGGCAACATACTGCTGCACAACATCAAAGTTGTTCATGAGAGCATGGAATTCTGGGTCATCTTTGTCGTATTTGAACCCAAATGTTATGGCACAAATGATGTTAGCAACACAATGAAATATATCTTGCGGAATGTTTCTTGGAGTGACCGTTTTTTCTCCCAGGTCAGCCAAAAGATCCTTTATGACGTCACAAGCCTTATTTTCAAGACTATTACCAAACGTCCTGTAAGCAGCATGAAATATTTTACGTTGTTTCTTCCAACGCTGAGAAATTTCTTTCGAAAAAGCGATATTCTTACCATCGTGACTAAACAAAATGGCCGCGTAAGGTAGGTTCAACGGTCGTCCACCAAAAACAAATGATTGCCTCACGAGTACCTCCCGAGCCATTTCCGAGCTGCTCACGACAAGCGCACGCTCGCTTCCGAAGTAGATTGTCATTAGATCGCCATATTTCTTAGCAAGCTTTGCCAAATCAATATGAACGGTCGTACCAATCAGATTTAAGTTTCCCAGAAAGGGAAGTGGAATGGACCGGGTGGCAAATCACGTGACGTTAAATGTGACAAATAGAAAAAGAGAAGTCTACAAAAAAATATATCAAAGTAATGCCAACTAATATTTCGATCATGGCGCAAAACGAGATCAGAAATGCTGTTAAGCGTTTTCTGAGAGCCTACGCGTGCCAACACAAGATAATTGCAATGTAATCCGATTGAAGTTTCACTTTTTGGAGTGCAAAAAAACTCACGTTTCAAAAATCAATAACGTACAGATAATTCTTCGTCCAGGAGAGCACTTCATTCAGAAAACAAACCATGCAGTGAATAATCTTCACCCCAACGATTTCAACTCGTATATTTTAAAGGCCTTTATAGGGAACATTCGTCAAAACGCTATCAGTGAGTGTTGAAAAGGAAATAACGATTTTCCTCACTTTATCCAAAACACTTCTCCAAAATGAAGTCAACAGTGTCCAAATTGTTGCGATAATCGATTTATTGCGCGTACCACGAAATAACAACAATACACGGTTAGATTATTTACCTCGAAAAGAGGGCAACGCTCCACGTTAATGCTTTTCTACGCCACGAATCAAGGTTTTACACAAAATGTGTACTTAAGTAGAATTTGTCAACCTTGATGCCAGTGCAAGAAGATTGTAAATATAAAATACGTTCGCTTGTTAAATAGACACGCTTCGTTACATACTTAATCTTTGGCAAAGTGGCAAAGCCATTATTGAAGCAGAAGTGATGACGCCAGACCGACACAATGTTGCATCATGGGCAATCAAAAGGACATAATTTTACTAACAGATTTGATGTTAACCTTTAGACGAACCCAATAAGACTGGAAATACAAACGTGTTTGCTTGTTAAAAAGATGCGCGCTTCATTTCATCTTTAATCTTTTGGCAAGTCTTGCGACCATTATAGGTTAAATGTATTTTTGAAAGGAGGAAACGACAGAAAGTATTCTTGAATCACAAAATTCGGCCGTTCTGCCGACAATTTAAAAGTCAAATTATTCTTTGATCTTTGTTTTAAAAGATATTTCAAAAATTTCAAGCAGTTTGAGTCATGAATTTATGAACTACGAATTACTGGCTGTGTTCCAAAACCATTTAAATAAATTCTGGTTCCAAAATCCATTTAAATAAAATCTAATAAATCGAATCTATTTCATGCAATCGATAGCTTCTTAATCTTAACTATCAAATGCAATTCTATAGTAACTTACCATCAGAAAAAGAGTATGGTTGGTATTCCTTTACGTCAGAATCGACATCCATTTTATCAACACTAAATTTCTTTCCCTCAAGCTTAGCTTTCTAAATACGTAAAAGCACAAATAACATATGTTAAAAAAAATTCGATCAGACAAAAATATTTTTTAAAGCGTATACATCACAACATAGACACACCATAATTAAAATCTTCAAGTACACTCGAGTACCCTCAAGTACCCTCGAGTACCCACTTCAACAGCTCCACACCTATTTTACCCCACCTCACCCTTTTAATGATCACACATTTGAAAGGTAGCAAAAAACAAACCCCTGACATACATTCACCTCCAAGTCTCTGAACAACGAGATTATGTGCATTAAGCATGGACTTTGTCAGGTTCTCAGACGACATTGCATAAAGAATGGGGATTGAGTATTTTAATAAAAAGTAATATTGAAGCATGTGAATTACATATAAAATGCGAAAACAATTTGTGTAAAAATTTACTTAGTCCCCAGCCTCTTTTTATTTAGCCTCCCGCCTTTACTAATCCCCACTTGAATGATAACAATAAATCCCACAGGAGAGGGGGTAAAGAAAAAAATATTAATCCTCAAGTACTCAAGTTTATAGTGTATCCTCAAGTACTCATGTGTATAGTGTATCCTCAAGTACTCATGTATATAGTGTATCCTTAAGTACTCATGTGTATAGTGTATCCTCAAGTACTCATGTGTAATGTATCCTCATGTGTATAGTGTATCCTCAAGTACTCATGAGTATAGTGTATCCTCAATGTGTATAGTTTGTCCTCAAGTACTCATGTGTGTATCCTCAAGTACTAATGTGTATAGTGTATCCTCAAGTACTCATGTATAGTTATCCTCGAGTACTCATGTGTATAGTGTATCCTCAAGTACTCATGTGTATAGTGTATCCTCAAGTACTCATATGTATAGTGTGTCCTCAAGTACTCATGTGTATAATGTATCCTCAAGTACTCATGTGTATAGTGTATAGTCAAGTACTCACGTGTATAGTGTTCATGTACTCATGTGTGTATATGTGTATAGTGTACTCATGTGTATAGTGTATCCTAAGTACTCATGTGTATAGTGTATCTTCAAGTACTCATGTGTATAGTAGTCATGTGTATAGTGTATCCTTAAGTGGTCATGTGTATAGTGTATCCTTAAGTAGTCATGTGTATAGTGTATCCTAAAGTACTCATGTGTATAGTGTATCCTTAAGTACTCATGTGTATAGTGTATCTTCAAGTACTCATGTGTATAGTGTATCCTTACAGACAAGATTTTCGAAGCATTTGGGAAAATTTTCCCTTGCAGGTAACCAAATGTCAAGCCCTGCAACGAAAACAACCGTGCACCAATTAACATAGAAAGCCTGCAAATTTGTCTTGCTATGTAAATAATCTTTACTAACTGTATTAAAACAACAGATTTCTAAAGAAACAATGCAGATGATTTACAAAGCACAACCAAATATGAGGGTATTATACGTTACTGAGAGCAAAGTTCGAATACAAGCACGATATTTAAAGTAGAAATTCGGTAACTTCCATACAACATACGATGATCATAAATAGCGTTGGACGATTATCAAAAAAATCAGCTCATGATTATTTTTTAGGAAATTATTACGATATTCGATAATATCGCGATAAATACGATAACAAAATGCACCACATTGTTTTTAAATTTTGATCAATAAAATGAACTAAACATAATCAACAAAGTAACTAAAGTTTTATGATAGTTACTCAATATTCAATAACAGTTACCGGATGACACAAATGCAGCGGGCACACAGCGCAAGCAAAGCATGCAATTTCATTGTTTAGCGCATCAATACATAAATATCAGTGATTTAGTCTAGCTTTTGTACTTTACTATATCGTATTAATTTGGTAAATTTATGTTTGAGCTACGTTTTCCGGAAATAAAAAGAATCATTTGGGTTCTATAAAGCTAAATGTACATACAGGCAAAGCAATATCATGATAGTCATCAAGCATGACAATAACTTCGATAAATCGATTTATCGAAATATCACCCAACCCTAATCATAAATGTGTCAAAGTGTTGGTAAACATCAAAATCCCCTTTCAAACATGAATTCAATAATAAAAATTTTTATGGTCTATTTTGTAGTGGCTGCATAGTCCATTAATGAAAATAGCGCTGGGTGTTGATGCAATTGGGGCTTCAAGAGAATAATAAAGACAAGCTTACCGCTGTTTCAACGAACTGTGGCGTCTATTCTGGATCAGCTTGATGCATTGGAACGCATTAATCGCTTGGACAGTTTTGACTCGGTCGACAAGATTTGAGATAGCAATATAGGTACCACAGTGACCTGCTCCGTCACTGGATTAAGAAAATAAATATTTTGTGTTTGTTGCAAAATTCTTGTAGAGATCTTCACTTAGACCTTAAACCGCCAAATTATAACCACGAGAGCGACGAGGTTAATCACTTGCTAATATTTGAGTCACACGTGTTTTACCTGCATATAACAATGACAGGTCTATTTACATCAGCAGCTCTTTGTGAATGTTCAACTTTAGATAAAATTTCCACCATACTGTGAACATCTTTAGAAACATCATGAACCGGCCACGATATGTCATGAATCACGGACCATACGACCTTTTTTAATATCCTAAGAAACAAAAAATAAATAAATGTAACAAATCATTTACTCATAAAGACATTCTTTAGAAATCTATTGTTCTTACGGTCAGTAAACACAAAATATTTGCTGCAACTGCGTAAAAACACTATTGATATTGCGCATTTAATAAATACGACGGGGTTTTAAAAGAAGCATTTCACAATAACAAAACTAATCGTAATCTCAACGTTCACGTTTTCGTTTTAACACTATATTCCGCCTGTAATTACACTCATAAATTAGTTCCAACCAGTATTTCATTTTAATATTTATAATCTACTGATAATTGTATCACTGCATCATATTACTCTTATATAAAATTATCATGCATATACATAATATTCTTATTATACTGAAGATGCAATCATAAGATGTTGAAACACATTTATTTTAAAACAACTCGTCGTATTTATTAAATGCAAAAAATATTTGCATAGCGAGAGTAAAGTCAGACTGACTACGCTACTGCATAAACATATACATATGAACTTTGTATGAAAGAGAAGTGTATTGATTTATTTGCAACCAATTATTTAAAGCAGAGATTTAAATATGTTTATAGAAATTTCTTTTTATCCGAATGATTCTGACTTTTCTCTTATAGAAACGTATTGATTGTAGGCACGCGTTTCTGATTTTTCCTTTAAGATAATGAATATTTTATTGTTTTATTGCAGGTATGTCGAAGCCTGTAATTGAATGTTGAATCTTCTTTAATGATGAACAAATGGTGTAAAAGCACAACAAAGAAGTATCAAAAGACCAGTTGCTAAAAATACTATCTTCACACAATTATAAAAGTAACTAGTATGGAATGAAGATACTGGACTGGATTACTTTGACTTTAATTTTTATATACAGCTATACAACCATTGTAATTATACAAAAATCACTCCACACAAAGACTGGAACACATAATGACTTAAGTTTCAACATCAGATCACTTTTTAAAGGACACTAATCACCAGACAAAAATATATTAAAACTTTTTACATTGATCATATCAGATAAGGCGACTCACAATTTTGATATCTGGAATTCAACTCTAAGATTCACTTCTTGAAGACATCAAATATAAAACCACAGATCATACCAAAACTTTTGATCTACATATCAAATTGCCTGTGATTCTTGGTTTTCTAATTTATTCGTATAAATGTAATTTAGAGAAACTACAACGTATAATTCTAATTTAATTCGATGCCGCATCAGCAAAAAATAAAAGGAAAAATACGAATAGCACACAAATACAGGCATGGAGAATATTTTGTCGTCTGCTGAGTCTTTGTTATTCGGCTTTGTCTCAAAACATGGTGACTAATGATTGTCAATTTCAAAAGGTCAACTTAACGCCAACGAAGTACAAAGTGAAAAAAAATGTAATGAAATATTTAAGAACTGACAATTAATATTGAAAAGGAATTCAATACCTTTTTGATGACAAAATTTCGTCCGTAACCACAAGACTATCCAAATTCTTACTATCCGCCATATTGCATGACATCAGTGAACCAGTGAACTCAATATTTAAATAACTGGAATGAAAGCATAAGCCAAAAATTGAAACCAGTTAGGCAATTGCGCTTCATGATTTGTACATCTTGTAAAATTTTGTGTCATTGCTTCAAAGCCATGTCTTCTTTTCTGTTAATCACCAATCTAAGCCGAAGCACAACGTTAACTAGCATTTGCAGTCAAATCATTAAGGAAATTTAATTTACCCGATCATTTTGAATGTTTAAAATGAATATTATCATGACGATATAAAGCAAAACAGGAAAGGACAAGAACAGCACCATCTTATTAACACTAACAAAATCAACTCCATCCACTAAAACTCCTTGTTTCTCACGTTAGGTAAATTCATGTGATGAACGACTATATCACGAGGAAGATTATCGAAAGATTTGTGGGGTAGAAAATTTGAGTTATTATATCAGCGACTTTAACTAGCTAAATAGACACTTCGTAAGAACTACCGTAGTAATTGAGTTTTCTCATAGTGGGTTAGAACATTCTGATGATTCCAAAATACAATCCACTTTCACAATGCCAAATCGTACATCCAGTGCCTACGTATACTGAGTTGTAATTTTCCTTTCTAAAAGGTAAGTTCTTTATTACTTCTATACAAATTACAATCATTGTTAAATAATTTTAATGAACAAGCAAGCGGTTGATAAACTAACCTATAGATTAAGACATTAAAGTGAGCAGTCGCCGCAGAGTGTTTGATTTGAGCATTTGATAATTTAAATTTCAATTCAGAACTATTCTTGACTTGCAACCATTCTCTTAAGATTTACCAAACAATGTTGCTCGCCTACGTCGGCTAGTGCGAACAATAACACTGATAAAATATTCATTTCTATCAAACCGCCAACATGGCTGAATTGCAAGTCAAGAATTCACTCTCATCAAATGTTGTCAGTAGATGTTAAATAACTTCAACACGCATTTTACTGCACGTTCGAGTACAAGAGTTTAGATTGATCCTAACGAACAGCCAATACGACAAGAATAAAAACCAACCCGGAGCAGCAACTGCACCAGTAAAAGCACCATCATTTCTACCGTTTATAGGATATAAATGAATGACAAAGATGAACTTAATAAACATTAAGTGAGCAGGAGGCGGACAAAAAGCAACTGAACTATAAATAACACGTGATTACTTGAAGATATCAATAGACTACTTGATATTACATGACGAGAAGAAACTGTTTTACTTGGGGTTCGTCTGCTCATATTCTTAGGAAGTGAAAGCTCATACATCATAATCGTTGGTGTGTGTTCCAACTAATAAAACTAATGAATCGGAGAAACTCGTGATAGGGTTGGCTATATTTTTCATATCTAGAGTCGAGAATCTCTGAATGATATTCTGTACTTCTGTATTTGTAACAATTTGATATTTTACTCATAATTCAAACATAATTCGAACGCAAATATAAATTTTAAACGGGTTTAATGTTGCGGAAGTTTAGTACCGACTACCTAGATCAGTCTTTTGGTGGGTGTTCCTGCCAGTGTTGAAAAACAAGGAGAGGGGTTGACAAAAAACTATAGGAGAGAAGGACGTGTTGGGAGATCATATGCATTTTTCTTGATTTGTAAAATCTTGTCTGGTAGCTTCAAACCCATTTCTTTTTTTTTTCGTTGATCTCTAGTCTACAGCCAAACATATTGCTCCAAGCACTCTAGCAAACAAATTATCAGAAAATTCAATTAACTCGATAACTTTGGATGAGTTTAAAATGAACATTATAATGGGGATAATAGGCAAGAACAGGAAAGAACAAGAACAGCAACATTATACTAACACAAATATAATTGGTAACAAAGTAAACTCCATCCGCTTAAACCCCCTGTTTCTTACGTCAGGTAAATTAATGAGATGACAGTGTGTACATATTCATATATATTCCATTGACTCAAAAATTATGAATGAATGAAAATCCCGTTCCCCCCAACTTATTTAAATAAATTACTGAGCAAACTACGCCATTGTTTGTTTGTAATTTAACTTTATTTCTTATTTAATGTATTTAGATAAAAAGTATTACAACTATTATCCTATTTCAAATATTGACTACATCCTTAGCCTAAAAATTTGATGTTATGTTCCAAATTGTTTTCAAATAGTCTTCAGAATCATTCACTCTCGTTCACTCTTATAGTTAAATAGGAAATAAAATTCTATGCTTAATCATATTCTTCTATAGTACGTTAAATTTCAGAAAACGTCTAATAATTTCGCGAAAAAAATTCAACTTCCCCCATTTTAGTAGCCGTCAAATAACTTCAATACGCAGTTCACTGCACTGTAGCAGAGTTTGAATTGATCCTAACAAAAAGAATGACCAATATGACAAAAATAATGAGCAAAATTGCAGCTACAACTGCACCAGCAATGGCTCCAATTTTTCCACCGTCTACAAGATAAAATTAAATGACAAATCATAACATTACCAACAAATATTGTCTTTCAGCGATCATTTTTGTAAAGCTGAGGGTGTAACCGCTCTCAAACCTCATGTATTCATCCCTGTTAACTATTTATGATTTATTTATTGTATAAATTAGGTTTGGAACGCAATGAAATTAGAGAAGACGTACACAAAATCACTAAGGCAGTTATTTGTGGGAATTAAATCGGTTGTATCATCAAACAAAATCTATATTCATCGTTAAAAATTTTCAGGCATTTTACTATACTGAAATTTGCAAAGATCTTGAATCATTGCACTTTAGACATCGATAAACTTCCTTATGCTATTGAAAGCAAACACAAACCTGAAGACTAGTGCTTTTGGGCAGTTGCTGCCACTGGACTCCAGTCAGTGGAATAATAATCACCCTGAAACGAAGTGAACATTTATATTTGAATAAAATTTGCAGCAATCAATGCTGATGAAAACGTAAATAAATGGTCGCACCTGATCATTTATGAAAACGCGCAGAAATATTTTGTAGCTAGTGCCAGGCTTTAGCGGGCCATTATAATAATTTTCACCATTGGAACGCCATGTTGTGTTTTCACCATGACCAAGTGTAAAATCAGGCTTAAAGTCTCTGCGAGAGACTACAGCAGCAATATACGGCATTGGTTGTGTGGAAGATATGGCCTTAGAATAAGTCACTAAGTCTGTGTTGTTAAAGTTAGAAGGCAGTCGACTCTCTTCTGTGACATTTTTCATCGCGACTACATAGAAATATCTGCAAATTTAAGGCAAAACATTTTTAAAATACATGCATAACCTCTGCTTTTGTTAATGGTTAAAATATATGTTATGCATGCATCCGCAATGCCAAAGAAAAGCGACGAGTCATCAAAGCTTTCCCCAGAGATATTTAGACTACCTCGATCCCACATGAAACCAACTGTCCTATACTTAGCCATGAATCCGAAAAACTCAAAAAATACTTTTAAGTTCCTTTAAGTTTTTTACAATAATTTGCTCTAGTAAAATACATAGTTACCGATATTCCACATTTGGATTTTGCAACAAATAAGTCAACGTATTTCCAATCTGCTTGGTGGACAGTTCAGGTGCCACTAAATAAATAAACTTGAATAAATTTATCATCTTAAACAAACCTGTGCATAAACCATAGACAACTTACATCCATTTGTAAATACCCATGTAACATTGCTGTAACATCCAGATCCCACTATTGTAGAAGCTAAAACACGAACATAATATTTTGTCCCTGGTTTCACATTATTTATGTCCAAACGCTGTTCCGCGATCCTATATTTCATTGAACAGATTTCATTCTCCAAGTGTGTAATACAAACAGTGTAATTGACTATCTTTCCATTTGTTTTGTTCTTGTCTGGTGGCTCCCACGTAACTGATAACGATGAACTGCTTAAGGCGACAATTTGAACATTTAAAGGTGGACCTTCGGGAACTAAACAAAAATAAAAAACATTTGTTTTAAAGATTTATATAAAATATTAAATACACTTTAGAAAGAAGTCCTAACAACTGTACACTGTCATTGTTAACTTAAATATAATACAGTATAAAAAAAACATGATTGAAATAAATATCGACCAGAAAAGATTTGAGCTTTCAAAATTCGTCTATGGCAATAACACCATCAATGCAACAACAGCCGATATGTATACATAAAAACTGATATGAACTCACCATCTTCAGCAGTTCTAAAAGTAGCTGTAGTTGATCTACCAAAGCCTTCAGAATTGCCGGCGGTTACATTAACTTTATACGTTGCGTAAGGAACAAGATTCGTAATGTTGTACGTTTTTTTGTCAGTTACCTTCAGAGTTTTATCAAAAACAATCATAGTATCCTTTAGCAAAATCAATAGATAACTTGTAAGAGGATTCGAGATATTTGTACCAAGTTTCACACCAGTTTTTTTTGGATGTTTCCATGATATCTCGAGGTACGTCGATGCAGATTTGGTTGCAATGAGATCTGTTGGTTTGTCTACAAATTGAACCATGTGTAGCCCCTAAGTGAAATAAGTGTTCTGCTTTTTCTCCAATAACACGTGTTAAACTTAACTGCATGTTGAAAAGGCTTGTTTCAATAAGTTTATTTCAACAGAGAAAGAAACTAACACTTCAGCCTTCATGGAAAATTGTTCTGTTTTGTCAACTAACTCATGTTTAATTAATACTCAGAGAAAAAACTATATATATTGAAAAATTAAGTGCTTACAGTGCAAAGTAAACCTGGTATATTTTTTCTTCCTCTTACCTCCACCACAAATTTCAATTCGTAAACACGGTGCACCAACAAATTTCAATGGAAAGATTCGCAAAGCTTTGGATTTAAGGCCACCAGAAAACTTTTCTATAGCCGCATCATTGTAACCATTTTTGTTTCCTAGATAAATCTGGAATAAAACAAACAAATTGATTTTCGTGTATTTGCAGAGCAAGGTTAGAGAAAAGAAAGGTTTTTTTAACGCTGTCCAGAGGAGAGTAGTTTATGCATTGTCTATGTATCGCTTCAAATCATGCACATAGCTACAATTTAAACTTTATAATCAAATGCAAGAGTCCTTCGTAGTGCAGGAGTAACCAAGACAATCAACACAGTGACGTAGCTAGCCCACAAATTTGGTCGTGTTATATGTAAATTTCTCAGAGCTCACTAACTGTAAAAACAATAGATCTCTAAAGAAATGAATAATGATAATGATCTGAAATTTACATAGAACCAGCAATTTTGCGTGCCGGCTACACCACTGAATCAACATCTGCACACAAGTTTGTATATAAATAGCAATTTAAAAGTTTACTTAGTTTATAACTTCATTCCTTTTTAAATTTCCTTTAAATTTATAATATACAAATTCGATAAGTCTACTGTTACCTTCTGGGATTTTTCAGATTTCCAGTTCACACCATCAATGTTTGTCTGCAAGTGATATTTAGTTACAAAGCTTGAACTTGAACTGTCTCCAAAGATAGTGATAACGTTAACTGTATAAAGACTCGGAAAATTCAGTTGAAGGTAATGATTGCCATTAGCAGCAGGAGCACACCATGAACTACCACTGGATATTCTTGCTTTAGCAGCACTACGACTCTTTGGGAAGGCAGTAAACCAAGAATCTGGGAATTTTTCTGCGTTTTTTAATAGAGGATTATCACAAACATGACCTTAAATAGAAAAGGATTTGGTTGAAATGCATTATAACATTAGAACTGGTTTGATTTGATAGAGAGCAATGGTGCACTCTCATATTGTTCTCCATTCACGTAAAATTGGAAAAATTAAAAACTGTTTTCTTAAGAAAGAAAAAGAGCACAAGATATATTGGAGGAATACGAATGATTTTGCTTTTATTAAATAAGGTTAAATTTAAGTTGGAATTAAGCCAGCTATGACATGAAGCCGTAAGTATCTTGTCTAATAACAACAATACCTTAGCGATTTAAATTCCATTAAAGAGTGAACGTCAATCGTATTGCAGAGGAATGACAATTGGACATTTTTTGAAGCACGAAATGAAGTAGCAAGAGGAAAATTAATTTAATCCTCAGTATTCGCAGCAATCCTGTTTTAATCGTTTATATTTTGTGATGTTATATTTCTTTTGTTATGTAAAAGAAGAATTGTAAAATTCTCCAAGTCAGCGTAAAATACAGTGACACTACGATGTCAGATGTAAGTCTTGATGATAGAAGTAAGTCATGATGCTTAACAATAGACAGATGTAAGTTGAGAACACAAAAGTAACACATTCATTCCTTAAATTCTTCACTAAAAATCTTTTTCTAACGTCATACAAATGTGTCCTGCAATACGTTAATACATTAAAAAAATTGAATGAGAATGCTTACATATAACGTACGAGTATTGAGAGCAATCATTATTTTGAGTGATAGCACATTGAGATAAATCGTTCACTCGAGCATCACATTTGACAATTCCAGGTATAAACGATTGATGCATCAAAGATGATAGTGACATTGAGCCTCCCCCAGATGCTGCGGTAGGATAACCAAGTTGTTTACAGATAATCGTCTTCATTTTATGCAAAAGACTGTTGTTGCAAATGGTGAAGTTTCTATACTTGGTAATAACATTCACGACACCTTCGTTCGGAAGATTCGACTTAGACAGGCGTACATCCATAACTACACAAAAAAATTATTTTTCCTTTAATTGTGATTATGGCGCATATCTTAAAGTGAAATCTGTGTTTTAGAAGTGGTTTTATGAACATAAATATGACAAATCTCGTCCATGAATAAAATATATACACGGAGTTTGAATATCAGAAGAACACAGAAGGTGACATTAACTTAAAAATTTTAGTTTGAAAGCACTTAACCAGAAATGTTTTCCACATTCTGATGGACACAGTATCTTATAGATTTACACTTAAAGTTGGTAAGCACTGTTTTGATTTTAATCTTTAAGTTGACAATGAACTACAGGCAAATAAGTTGAACTGAGAACTTTTCTCTTGTGTTGTAAACACGAATCACAACAAAATGTGTCTAAGTGATTATGTGAATCATTAATGAAACCAGAACAAATACCGTTTTTTATAGGTGAGCGCTGCGTTTAGCTTCCCAATTCATAGGAATTGTAATGAATCTATCTTTGTATATATATACAGTATATGTAAAAATTCTGTAGTGTGAAGTCATGAAAATATGAATACAAATGCAATTGTAAATGTCACTTTTGGCCTACATAGAATGGCCAAAAGATTTTAAAAAAGAAATAGATTTGATAAATCAAATTGACTGGAAGAAGATATGTTTCCATGAACAAAGTTTGCATTAACAAACTAAAAACACAAAATTCACCAAACCATTAAACTTATGAAAAATATTTAGGACACAAGTTTAAATGTCACATTATAAAAAGACACTAAATTATACAATACGAGATAAAACTGCATAAACAAACCACGCCTGGTGAAGACACCCGACGAAAATTCAAATTTGTGTCAACTTTTCTAAATTGATAACGTACATAGTAGAAAAATGAGCACCATACCATTGCGCATTAAGGTCAAAACTTGTCCCGAAGCTCTTTAATAATAAGCAAAATATAATCTTCCCATATAATACTTACGATTGCAAATTTTTCTGTATGGCATACTTTTGTAGTTACATTGATATTCAAAGTAAAGATATTTCTCCAAACCAGGACAAATATTTGAAGGAAAGTGATTATCATCAACGGTTACATTACATTTTCTTTCACCATCACAGTAATTTTTAAGGTCACATGTTACATCGACACTACAACTGTAATCAAAGTTATAACTGGAGCCACAAATGCTTCCTTTTCTCAATCCACGATATTCTGCAACTTTTATCACCATATATTGATTATTAGAACAACTAACGTCCGATATATTTTTTCCATCACATGTTACTGAGCCTATTAAAGACACACAAAAAATAAGTAAATTCATATCTATACAAGCTTATTTGTGAATTCCTGTAAAATAAAACTTGATTTGATAAAAATGAAGTGTGTGATGGCAGTGACTTCACTGGCGCCATTCCTATATCTGTGGCCTTGCAGTGGCTTTTAATAGAGTTTAAGTATATATACGCTAACTGGATGAATATTCTGCCATTGAATTCTTCATTTTACAATTGGCCAGTTCCAAGTCGAGATAATCGAAAGCCACTCCTCTAACTACTATGCATTTATTATAGCGTGAATAGAATAGACCACCCCAATTTGTTTGGGTTATGGTATTGATGGCTCCGCATTCTCCATTAAAATTTCCAGAAGATAACACCACAAGAGTTCTGTATCGTAAGACAATACACGTTGTTGTATTCGACCTATTGATGGAGCCAGATTGTAAAAATTTAAAATAAGCTGACTCCTCAAAACAATTCATTGTATACAGGTAGGGAGCGGGTAAATCATCCCAAACACACTTTCCTCACTGAACATGTTTGATGAAAAATCCATTCGTATCTGAAAAAGGACAATGATACATGATAAAATTGATTGAAAATACCACACTCTACAAAATTTATATATATAAATAATATGACTTTATGAAAAATAATTTAGCATACTGAATTCTATCAACATAGAAAAAAACACTCCAAAAAAAAGTCATCTTGAAATTCAACCTTTCTAAAGAATTAAATAAACCAATTGCTGTTGAGAGTCATTTTATAAATAATGGCATATGCAAGACTTTAAGGCATCCAGCATGGAGCATTGAGCTGAAATACATGGAACGCTACCTGTAATACAAAACCCTAATAATTTTTTAAAGCCGTCATTTTACCCCAGACACGCAAGACTTTACCCCAGACACGAGTGTGTAGTCAATCAATTTTTACTCCGCGAGAGGAACTCGAAACACTAAACGCGCGTGTCTTGGGTAAAATCTCGCGTGTGTAGCGTAAAATATGGTTCAATTATATGCTTGATGTAGCGTTCCATGTATTTTAGTTCAATGGCATGGAGACTGAAAAATTTTACAAACAAGTTGAAAAGTGTAAAAAATCAATTAATAAAAATTTCACGGCGCACGGTCTGTTACGATGGAAAAGGAGAGTTATGGTTTGTTTACGCAATTGAAATATTTGAAATATTTTAAGATTGTTTGCTGAACCTGATTTTTCATCTGTATAAACTCCCATGACTTTCGTTTTGATGAAAAGGAAGTTTATCTAAGCACTTATACAAATTTGTGCCCAGAAAAAGTTGATGATTTAGGTTAGTATTATTCAAACTTGAAGACAAGGAATATATAATTCAATGTAAAACTGAATTGTGAACTCTGTAAGCTGTACACTCTTTTGGTGGAGTTCATTTAAGTTGTGCTGTGAAATAGTGCTCTTGATAATAAGAATACCAGAGTTGCACAATTTAAAATTCCAAACAATTTAAATAAATATCATGCCAGGGCTTATACAAAATCGTGAGGCTTTTTTACGGGTTTATAAAGGTTTATACATGCAGAGGAGAGATGCATACAAATATGTACAGGGATATTATACAGAGGGTTAATATACAACGAAATTTATTTCTACTGAAGTGATATAAGAACATTCTCCCGTTAAAATATTTAACAATTTTGGATTAAGTTGAGCATGATATAAAAGAATATTCAGACCGAGGTCAATTGGATATCTACCGAAGCAAATCTGAGGGGATAGCGCTGACTGCAGTCTGATTGAAAAATTTTGCGGTTCGCTTTCGTCTATTTCCTGTAAATACGCGATGAAAACTCTCTGGACAAACAGTTTAACACTTTCGGTGTTTTTCGTCTATATTCCCGATAATTTGAGCAGAGTAAAACACTTGAAAGTCTCGATGAAGATTCTACCAAAATATTTCTTGTATATACAGTTGTCTCATAAAGAAAATTCGTCACCTACAGGTAATTTTCAATGTTTTTCTAGGTGATAGTGTATTGACAATTATTTGAAGGCTTTTAGACAATCACAATCGAGATTGCATCACCGTTGTATTATAATAATAAAGCTTAACTAGCACAGATCAATATATGAACATCTTAACCCTAACCCTCACACCCATTAACAAACAACCAAAATCTTCCAACGTGATCGTTAATGAATAAAATCAATAAACCCGAAAATAACCAAGACACGCTCTTGAATTGAGCTTTTACTCTTTTACAGGTTTACATTATAATATATGTATGACGAATTAAACATGTTTGGCTGTTCCGGGGTGTATACTATTAGCTTTGCAACTGCAAAGAAATTCACTTAAGAGTATACGTACATGATGAATTAAATATAGGTCAAAGTGTCGAATGGATTTGAGCAAAGTTGAATATAAAGCATTATAATGACATTGGTGTACTATAAATTAAACTGAAACATGAAAAATTAAAATGAACTGCCCTTGCACGTACCTTGTGGTTTTCTGTTCACGTTGATGACAACATAACAAGTGTGACTTTTTCCACCGTATAAAACATATTTGAGAAGGATTTTGTATTGTCGGATTCCAAATCTATTAGAAGGTTTAAGATACGAATATACTTTCCCTTTATTTATGTACTTATGTGAACACGTGAAGTTTTCTGGTTCTTTCCAATTTCCCTTTAATGCTTTTTGTAAAAGAGGATAATCACCATAATCGACGTGTGGCAAAACAGTAAAGTTTAAAATAAACGGGCTGCATCCACATGTCCCTAACAAAAAATTAAGTTATCTTTAACTGGTTGTCCAAAGAAAAAGAACAAGTAGAAAGTGACACTCATTTGGCCACAAAATGTTACATACTATTCACATTGAATCGAAAGTCCTCCTTAAACCCAAATAGACAATAACTATACAGACTTTATCATATAACTGCATATATATATAATATATTTTTTTTGACTCTACTGTCATATTACTTTGCTTTTGTAACTAGACATAGGAACAATGAACGAGATATTATTCTGCGTCAATGCTGTGAAGCTAGTGTATCCAAATCAGTTGAGTACTTTAACATGTACCTTACTGGTTCAAACAATTTACTTTAGGTACCTTACTTTATTGCACTTTCTAAGAACACGGTTTCAATTACATATTTAAATTAAACAGTACCTCAGTAATATAAGTGTTGTGATTGTTTGCCAACATGGCCAGTTGATGTTCTGTACTTACTGTAAACTGAACTGTTGTTTACTTTACCTTCAAGAGGACATATTTCACTAAACATTTTAAATCGCTCCAAAGATATTTCTTCTCCTCAACACAACAACGTGTACGAGTATTGTTGCATTTCGAATCGATTTCAATTTTGTCCGCCACAAATTTCTTCCATTCTTCCTCACAAAACTCAAGTTCTTCATTCCAACCCATTTTCATTGTGAATCCTTGACCAAATAACAGCCACAATAACCACCATATCATTAAACTCATCATTGCATAGATCCAAGGATATACAGTAAAGCTCTAAATTATAATTGATTGTTGGATGTATGTACGTTATCACAGAAGACTTTAAATTTATATTTAGATCGACAATGACTACGTCACAATTACATCTGTGATGCAAGCAGATCACGATCAAAACGGATTTTTGAGCAATATATGAGCATTATCTAAAAAAGTCATTTCAGCAAAATTGTGTAGCGAGAAAAACTGTTCAGAAATAGATCGAGATAGTCTCATATGGCTGCATGATGGCTCTCTTATTGGTAGCCACTATAGCTATTATATAGGTACGTGGTTATAACTTTTTTAAAATAATGAAACTTGGTTAACTTTAAATTTATGCTTTATTCTTCTTACTCGGTTCAATATAAATTTCAACGTCTTGTGTTTCAAGAGATTTATTGAACGATGAAAAAATGCTTTTTAGTGGATAGCGCTAAGGAAGTGAAGAAAGCAAGATCAAATTGAAACCAAAGCAAATCATTTATTTTAGATACAATGGATTAAAAACCGAAGACGATGTTAAATTTCTTTATCTGAATATGAAAATAACAATTGTGCATGCAGAGCTTCCCATTAGCTATTTCATTTCAATTTCCTGTTATGTCATGATACATGTAAAAAACCTATGAAATCATAAAGTACTTTACAATTTCTTGTAACGCAGCCTCTATAGCTGTATAGTTATACCCGTATTGTCTCTAATGCTATACCCGTATTGGATTTTCATTCGCACATTAGCAGGTATAAAACAGCTAAATTGCTCAGTTGACAACTTCAAAAAGTTACAGTGGAAAAATTAACTACATAAATTAAAAATTTCAAAAGATAATGACCAAAAAATAATGTTGAAAGGGTGTTAGATATTTACATTACATGCACCGCGGAGCTTTTTTTCTATTGAGGAGGGAAGAGCTCACAAAATAAACGAACGTCGATATTAAGGGCAGCTAAGTAGTTTTGGGTTTCAGCGTTATCTTGAGATTTCTCAAATTCTTTTACAAAAATTTACAGAAATATCACAGAAAATCTTTGAAATATTTTGCAACTTTTTCATTTTTCGAAGCTTGTCGTTCATCCTTTGTTTGCAGTTATTCGTGGAGTACTAACTGACAATGAATACTCCATAAGAATTGAAAATCTCAAGCGGATTTCTTTTAATTTTTCGCAGGTGCCGCTAAAGGACAAAATTATTTACAGAACAGTGGAATAGGGTTTGTTTTTGATGTAGTTGAGAGATTTGAGCGAAAAATATAATAGTATATATGAATCAAAATATGAATGTATTAACCTGTCCCGAATCTTACATCAAGCATAGAGGTATTGTGGTAAATGAAACTCAGTGAAAGAAAAAATTTGCAGTATTAAATGTTAACATGGCATCGACGATAAAGAAAATTCCGTTTTACTATCTTACCTTTATTTTTTTATTAATTGAAAAACGGACACAATATGGCGACTGCAGAAATACACCTTACACGAGCAGAGAAAAATTAAGATACGTTCAAGTCAGACGAACAAAAGAGTTGTAGCTTTCGCAAGGTTTTACTTGCAACTGCTGGCCAAGGCTGTCGGCTTCCTTAAATGTAGAATGCCATATTGAGTATATGCAAACACTCATGCCATCTGCCCCAGTTATTCAACATTTTATAGAATTTGTTTTGCGTCAAATCCTATCTTTTACGAATTTACTATTATACTTTAAATGTTTATAAATTTGGATGCTGTTGTTGGTTGACAAAGCAATGTTATAGAAGATAAAGTTTTTGACATTTTAGAGAATTACCTCTGTTTATAGCTACGAAGCAACGAAGCACAAATAATGCATCTAATGTGGGCAAACACGGCAAAGCAGGTTAATGACTTCAAGTGCTCAATGACGAAAAATTATATTGTTACAATATAAAACGTATTTTAAGTTTTTGACTATCAACTTTACCAACAGTAAATTCAATTTTGCTGACAGTCATTAGCAAAATTTTAGGCCCTAAATACAACAGATTGTGTCGGACCGAACTATACAGTAAAATTTACATCGTAATACCAGCTGTAACTTTATTGCCTACAGGTGTTTGTTTCAACGATGGAGACATTACGACAGCGGCGCAAATACAGTGAGAAATGACAAGAAAACATCGCTTCAAGAATAATGACTTAATTATTAAATAATGTTCAAGCGATTGAGTTCAGCATAAAGAATCAAAAACAACATCATTTTGATTTCAATTATAATTTGGTATATGACAAACTTTTAGCATGCATTGGACAGCCACTTTGTAAGATATTATATCAAACTAAATTAAAACTAGATAGGATGGTTTTAATTTAGGCAATTTTTACATATTTTTTTGTAATATGTCTTTGTTAATTAGCTCTTAAGTGTTGCCCTTAAGTCTACGTTTTGATGTAAGAGGTGGACAGAAAACTTGTAGAAACACATAAATTTCGAAACACCACATTAAAATTAGTTGTATTATAAGACCTTTACTATTTGAAGTCTTTAAAGAGAAATATCTGATCATTTAATTCTTTTTGTGCAGACCTCGTAGGCTCGAATAGCGAATAAACAAAGTTAATAAAAGGTTTATTATAAAGGATTATTTAAACTGAAACGAAGTTTTCTTTACTTTTTTGTCCTCGCTGTTTTGTAAAAGTTGGCATTCACTCCTGTTTCCTTTTTGTTTCCAAAACTCTTGTTATTTGTTTTAAGAAATTTCTTTCCATTTATTTGTAAAATTACCTGTTATGAAACGCAGGTTTGAATTGTTATAGATCTGAGAGACTATATATGGTCATTGTCAACATTAAGTCATTAACAGCATTTAACTATGTACTAACATGGTGGCCTCTTGCTATCACAGTGACGTTTACTGACGTATTTTCTCATCAAAATATTCATTAGGGGCGTTTAGAGTAAATATTCCTCATCAATAATAAAACAATTCTGAAGTGAACAGGTGCACAGAAACACGTAGAAAAACATAAAATAAAACTCAACATCCGCTACATTATAGGGCCGTATTTAACAAATCGGAAGGTTGGGTAGCATTGCATGCTTAATAGGATGTTATGAGAAATAATCACATTTACATAAGGTGTTAGAATACAAAATGAGACGGTGTCAAATAGATTATATAAATTACGAAGTTAGGAAGCAAAATATACTGAAATTAAAAGAGTTGAATAGAACTGCGTTGGACAGATGTTAAGTCATAGTGAAGGAAACATACCAAAGGTCCACTTTGGTGAGAAACTTTCTACTGTACATATAATTAGATAACAGACTGCCGTTAGCCAGCTCAGCACTCCTATTACTCAAAAAAAGTCAATTTACTAGCTTCCAATATAGTAATCATACGCGCAATGAGATATACGTAGCACAAAAAATTCAATGGACTTGCTCTACTGTATTTTTACTATACTGTCGATAAGTGAAGACTTGTAGCTATTGATAATGAGGCTCTCATTAAGGGAGAGTTTGTATGAATCGTGAGAAGAGGAAATTCTTTCAAAGTCGTCCATGTTGGGGGTATCTCCAGATATGTTTATGTTAGCAAAAATGCTCGATAACGCAAGGCGTGACGTTTGGTTACCTTCAAATGGAGATATTCTCATATGCTACGAAAATCCGATGTGTAAATGACGCTTTATTTGACCCATATACAATACGTACAGCTATAACACTTTAATGAACACACAACATCCAATCTCTGAGGTTTGAGATTTTTTCCTAAAAGGGGACGAAAGAAAATAGACGTTAAGAAAGGTGGAAAAAAGTTTGGTACCAACTACCTAGATCAATCTTTCGGTGGGTGTTCCTGCCAGTGTTGAAAAACAAGGAGAGGGGCTGACAAAAAACTATAAGAGAGGATATGTTTTTCGATCACATGAATTTTTCTTGTTTTGTAAAATCTTGTGTCGTTGCTTCAAACCCATTTCTTCTTTTTTGTTGATCTCTAGTCTACAGCAAAACACAATGCTCCTAGCACTCTTGCAATCAAATCATCAGAAAATTCAATTAATTCGATAATTTTGGATGATTTTATAATGAATATTATAATGGGGATAATAAGCGAAAATAGGAAAGGACAAGAACAGCAACATTTTACTACCACTAACATAGTTGGTAAGAAAGTAAACTCCATCCATTAAAACTTCTTGTTTCTTACGTCAGGTAAATTAACGAGATGACAGTGTGTACATATTCATACATATTCCACTGACTCCAAAATTATGAATGTATGAAAATTCCCTCCCCCCAAGAAAAATAAATTACTGATCATGCTACGCCACTGTTTGTTTGTAATTTAACTTTATTTCTTATTTAATGTATTTAGATAAAAAGTATTACAGCCGTTATCCTATTTCAAATATTGACTTCATCCTTATTCTAAAAATTTGATGTTATGTTCCAAATTGTTTTCAAATACTGTTCAGAATCATTCACTCTCGTTCACTCTTATAGTTAAAAAGGTAATAAAATTCTATGCTTAATTATATTCTTTTATAGTACGCTAAATTTCAGAAAACGCCTAATAATTTCTCGAAAAAAATTAAACTTCCTATATTTTTGAGAAATTTTAGTAGCCGTCAAATGATCATAGTGAAGCCTACAGCGAAGATTGTCAATACTCTGGTTATACGGTTGATAAACTATGGTGACTATATGATTGGTTGATAAACTATGGTGACTATATGATTAATTGATACACTATGGTGACTATATGACTCGTTGATACAGTATGGTGACTATATGATTGGTTGATAAACTATGGTGACTATATGATTAGTTGATACACTATGGTGACTATATGACTCGTTGATACAGTATGGTGACTATATGATTGGTTGATAAACTATGGTGACTATATGATTGGTGGATACACTATGGTGACTATATGATTGGTTGATACACTATGGTGACTATATGATTGGTTGATACTATGGAGACTATGTGATTGGTTGATACAGTATGGTGACTATTTGATTGGTTGATACACTAGGTGACTATATGATTGGTTGATACACTATGGTGACTATATGATTAATTGATACACTATGGTGAATATATGATTGGCTGATACACTATGGTGACTATATGATTGGTTGATACATTATGGTGACTATATGATTGGTTGATACACTATGGTGAATATATGATTGGTTGATACAGTATGGTAACTATATGATTGGTTGATACAGTATGGTGACTATATGATTGGTTGATACACTATGGTGAATATATGATTGGTTGATACAGTATGGTAACTATATGATTGGTTGATACAGTATGGTGACTATATGATTGGTTGATACACTATGGTGACTATATGATAGGTGGATACCCTATGGTGACTATATGATTGGTTGATACACTATGGTGACTATATGATTGGTTGATACTATGGAGACTATGTGATTGGTGGATACACTATGGTGACTATATGATTGGTTGATACACTATGGTGACTATATGATAGGTTGATACACTATAGTGACTATATGATTGGTTGATACACTATGGTGACTATATGATTCGTTGATACACTATGGTGACTATATGATTGGTTGATACACTATGGTGACTATATGATTGGTTGATACACTATGGTGACTATATGATTGGTTGATACACTATGGTGAATATATGATTGGTTGATACACTATGGTGACTATATGATTGGTTGATACACTATGGTGACTATATGATTGGTTGATACACTATGGTGACTATATGATTGGTTGATACACTATGGTGACTATATGATTGGTTGATACACTATAGTGACTATATGATTGGTTGATACACTATGGTGACTATATGATTGGTTGATACACTATGGTGACTATATGATTGGTTGATACATTATGGTGACTATATGATTGGTTGATACACTATGGTGACTATATGATTAATTGATACACTATGGTGAATATATGATTGGTTGATACACTATGGTGACTATATGATTGGTTGATACACTATGGTGACTATATGATTGGTTGATACACTATGGTGACTATATGATTGATTGATACACTATGGTGACTATATGATTGGTTGATACACTATGGTGACTATATGATTGGTTGATACACTATGGTGACTATACCTGGAGAGTTATGTTTCCCGTGGTAAGATTCTCACACGAATCGCATTCAGCCTTCCGGACACGTGATCCTGTAAACGAGTTTTAAAGTTGTAGAAATCAGTCAACGACAAAAATCTCAAAATGCATCTTTTTTTACGAACCTCGACTACACTGATCTCCACTTCACCGGAAAAGTTGATTTCTTGTTCCTATGGAAAATAAAACAGCAACTGCATCACGACAAGCAATAATTTTGAGACGATCATGCACTAACTGATAAGGCTTTAAATTAAATGATTTGAACCCGGAGTACCTTTGCATGTGTGTAGATGTAGATCGTCCACGTTATGGAAATCTTGAGAAGGATTGTTTTGTTGATGTTGACTGACGTTTCGACAACCTAAGCGGTAGTCATCTTAAGAGTGAAGCCTACAGCGAAGGTTGTCAATACTTTGGTTATACGGCTGACAGACAACAACAACACCAACAGTCCTTCTCAGAACTTCACCAAGCCTGGACGATCTTCATCTACAAACATTTAACGATACTTTAAACTAACATCAGCAAAGCTACTTTCTCCATCAATTTATCTTGACATACTTTCACTGGCACATATCGAGCTTTATGTAGCAAACGATGTTCTAACGTGGTTAGAAGAGGTTGATTTGAATTGTTTTTTGCTTACGATTGCCATAATAACAAAACTCACCGCATCAATCAACTCGCTGAAATGAAACAATAATCTTGTATCCCTATCGCAACATTGAATAAAGCTATAGCCGTCTTTCAAAGCCGAAACAAATCCCTAACAAGGAACAAAAAATTATGCATTTAATGTATCTCTATCACAACACTTAATGAAGCCATAGCCGTCTTTCAAAGCCGAAACAAACCCCTAACAAGGAACAAGAAATCATGCATTTAATCACATTACACCAACAATAATTTTTAACATAGATCTTTAAGAAGGAAACGAGTTTAAGTCGACTCTGTGCAATATAGTTATACATCGACATTCATAAAATAAAAATGCTCAATGCCAATGCCCATGGAGCACAATGTTAGCGTTGTCGAAAATAAAAGATTTCCCAACAAAATATGAGAGATTGAAGACAGTAAAATACTTTGGACAAACCTTTATTTTCAACGATACATTGTGAAAATTTGAATGCTTCGAGAGCAAGTATACCTTTTTAGGAAGGTACAACTTGAGGGGAGTAAATTTTTGACGGGGTGGGTGGATAAAATACTCATAGACGAGGAGGGTAAAGGTCAAACCATAACTCAAAGCAATTAACATTTGCCATCACAGTGATAAAGGTAAACAATTTCCCGCTAAATTTGGAGAAATGGCTTCCTCATGACGCAGTCTAAACACTAGCAAATGTAAAGGAGAATTAAAACTTACTCTTTCTCTGACATTGCATCCATTGCTGCTTTCCACTTCCTTGATGAGATGAATTTCCGTTGCTCTTCTTAAAGAATCACGCCGATCTGCACAAAAGAAGAGAGATGTATCGCTTGACTGAGTGGCTAAAAGATGGAAGCGTGCTTTATATTCCCGATATCACGGGGAAAATTTGTTAATTTCTTTCATTGTATGGACATGTTGCCATATCCAACTGGAAACACTCAAAGGAAAACTATAGTTTGAAAGCTTGGTTATTCTGTAAGGTACATACACGTTTGGTATTTTCTTCAAATGTTCAGACATGCACGTTAAACAAGACACCAAAACATTCAATCAACAATAAGGAGGACAACGAACTAGTTTAAAACAAAATGTTACGTCTAAACATGGTAATGTCTAAGCAAAGGAAGACTAGTTGAAGTTTTAAAGAATTGTCGATGGAGCACCCATTGATACAGTAACAAAGTTATTTTTAACTAAGATTAGATATGAGGCTGAAGTAGGGAGTAAAGTAAAACTTCGCATATAAGAGCCTAGATTTTAACAACCAATTAGGCTAATATTTCAGAAGGAAACTTAAACTGATCTAACTTTATTTATACTAGATATCTCTATCAGTTCTGAACAGTTCTTACTGTAAAGATCATCTCTTATTGATCCAGTGTTACTACAGAAAGAGACCTAAACTAAACTAACTTTCTTTAGACTAAATATCTCTATCAGTTCTAAACTTTTCTTTCTAATGATCCAGTAAAGATCATATCTTATTGATCCAGTGTTACTACTAAAGGAAACCTAAACTAAATTAACTTTATTTTTACTAAATATCTCTATCAGTCCTAAACATTTCTTTCTTATGATCCTGTTAAGATCATATCTTGTTGATCCAGTGTTACCACAGAAACAAACCTGAACTAAACCAAGTTTATTTATGTTAGATATCTCTACCAGTTCTAAACTCTTCTTCCTAAAGATCCAGTAAAGATAAGCTCTTATTGATCCAGTGTTACTACAGAAGGAAACCTAAACTAAACTAACTTAGTAATTTAATATTTATATTTTGTGTACGATTCCCGCCTGGTTTATCGATCGTAACTTAATCTATATATACTAGATATCTCGATCAGTCTTAAACTGTTCTTTGCCTAGATCAACAAAATCATCTCTCATTGATCTTGCACATGTTGAAATAATACCAACAGTTACAACAAACCATATTTACCTGTAGCAATTTTAAAACCAACAACATCCCAAGTCAAGACGGTGAACTCCCCCAAGACATCTTTCTCCCAATATGGCAGCTGTGAACTACCATTGCTTGTGTTGTACAATATCACACCATTTAACGGTTCCTGTCTTTTGTCCGACAATGTACTTTCTCGATGGTGCCTTGAAATGTGTCTTTGCTCACATCATCAAATTTCACTGTACCTTCTGGTAGACGCTCCACTGAGACTGCAACTTCTTTACCTGACAAAATAATTGGCCAAGTTTTACAAACAAATTTTACGAATTTCCAAAATAAACTTGTTGCTGTCGTCAGCTATCACAAAATACGTCAGTTGAGTCACGTGACTCGTTTGCAAACCGAAAATTTCCAATCCTACGTCAAATGCCAATCAGAAGTCATCGTGTGTAAAATAAATTACAAATGATCAAATCGTATACATAAGTGAAATAACTGATAAAACTCATTTTGTATTAAACAATAAATTATCAATACTGATCTACAGGGAGCAACTGCAACGGCCCAAACACAAACCTCGTTCACTTTGTCAGCTCTGTCGATGAAACCAAAAGATTCCTTGAGCGAGCAGACAATCGTTGAACGTAAACAGGAGGCAAAGCTTCGCGCAGCAACAACTCCACGGCACAGCATTGTCCATTTCTACAGAGGTTTATGAACTGTAACAGTGCATCAAACAAACAACATTTTGGACATGGCTCGTAAATTGGACATGGCTCGTGTAAATAATAAACTAACGTTCATGTTATAGGCCTTAACCAAAGCGTTTTCCTGCGTAAGGTAGCAAATCAAAACATAGAAATAAGGAGAAAGACTTCACCAAAATAGAAAGAACATTCTTAAGACTGCGCATTCATTGCTTAACCACGTAATGTACTTCACGCGATGAAGCACGTGATACAATCTAGAGAAACAGTACAAGCTTTCAACGCTATAGCAAAGAATATAATTTACCTTTTGTTTTCCAGGATGTAAAAAGACACAGTATCACCTTTGTAGATGTGAGACTTTGATAAAACATCAGCTTGATAATGTGGAAGAGAAAACAATTCCTGAAAGAAAAGGAGCAACGGTTAGAATCATAAAGATCCACCCCCTAACCGTGCAGACCTGTATTATGCAATGATCTTAAACTCCACCCCTGATCATGCAGACGTTTACTATGCAATGATTTTAAGCACCACCCCCTGACCGTGCAAACCTGTATTATGCAATGATCTTAAACTCCACCCCCTGACTGTGCAAACCTGTATAATGCAATGAACTTAAACTCTACCCCCATGACAGTGCATACCTGTATCATGCAATGATCTTAAACTCCACCCCCCTGACCGTGTAGACCTGTATATTGAAATTATCTTAAACTCCACCCCCTGACAGTGCATACCTGTATCATGCAATTATCTTAAACTCCACCCCATGACAGTGCATACCTGTATCGCGAAATGATCTTAAACTCATCTCATCTGATCTAATCCTAATCCCATATTGCAGTATAATTTTAACTCATCAAGGGCGAGAATACAGTGGCGCTATAATAGCCTCGATAATTGTGGGGTGGGAGGGTAGTCAATGTTTATGTAGGTATGCATGTCAAAAGCCTAAAAATTAATTTAATACGGCAAAATATGCATAGCAAGCTTTCTATGGTGTGGAGGGAACGATCAAAATCCAAAAAGGAAATAACGGCGAAAACCTGTTTCAAAAAAGATGAAGGAAATGTCAATAATTTGCAGGCAGTAATCTACAGTTTCCCTTATCGTCACGTCACTAACTTTCTTGCCTGTTTCAATTTTGGGATTTTGCCCAAAGCAAATATTTTGCTCACTGGTGTGTTCTGTATTTATTGCCCAATCGATAAATGTTCGATAAAAGATGTTGAGTAAAAAGTCTGATACTTTTTATATTTTACATTAATTCTTCTCTCTCAAACCCCCAAAAAAAATGACTTAAGTATTAAAGTTAGCCACGTAAAGATGCATAAAAAATGGAAGAAGTTCAAACAGTACTTACTCCGTTCACTTCATAACTAACGCGACCACATTCGGACTCGCCATTGCGAAATAACTGCTACAAAATAATGATGAAACTCTTTGAAAACGACATCACAAACATTCAAAGTACAATAAAACAACAGGAATACGCAACTCAAAAAATTCATACACGACCATTAACAACGAGTAATTTTAAAGCAATATGCATAATGAACAGTGGTGTAGCAAGCACGATAACTGGGGAGGGGTGACACATCTATATTCCACATATGCATGTCCTGCCGTATTGAGTTCCATTGTGTTCCATGCATAAAGACGTGCATAGATGAATTTGTTATCTACCCACCCTCCCCATCCCTTAATTAACGCGTTTGCTTCGCCACTGACTATTACATTTTCCCAGCTAATTGATCACGATGAAAATCACCTGTTTGGGGTAGCTGTGTCTCGACAACCTCGCCTCAACTTCCACTTTACCAACAACTCTTTCCTCGCTTTTTCCTACAAAGGAAACATAAATGGATGATTCACCAAAGACGATTTCTCAATTTCTCGTAAAACTTTGTAAACCAAACCAGGATGAACGTGCATACACGGCAAGCGTCAAAAAGTACACAAGGTGTCAAGGTCACTTACTTCAAATGTAACAGAGCCTTGTTCCAATTTCACCACTCGACATGCAATTGGTTTACCCTTACGAGAATCTGATGTCACTTCAAACTCCACACAGTCTAAACAAAAAAAGATTTAATCGACTATCAATATCAATCGAAATGTTCTTTACACTTCAGATAATAGACCAGAGCAGTGGCCTTTGCAGTAGCAGTAGAAACAAGGGATAGGCGGGGCGGATGGTGAAGGATTACAGTGTGAAACTCCCAACAAGTCAATGATCAGTGGTTTGTTCTGACTAGGTAAATAAACAAAGTTCTGTTTCGTTTTACCCCACAATAAAACAAAGACTATACATGAGTTTGAAAAGTTGTTTTAACTAACACTAACATTTGGACACACATTTTTGCAGACAGAGTCCTTCAGAATACCCATCACATTCACATTAAAAGACAGAACAGTGCAAGTTAGAATAGCAAAGAACACCCTCATACAACATCGTGAAGGCACGTGAATGCCACGTGTTGATAACATGAACTGTGGTGGGATTCAGATGGTGGAGATCAAATTTTAAAAGTATACCAACAAAGGCATGCCCTGGAATCTCCATAGAAATCTCATGCCTTGAGGATGAGCTTCCTCTCCCAATATGTCATAAAGTGTCACCACTGATTATGGTAGGGAGTGAAAAGTCATATGAGGAAACCCAATGAATTACTTGACAAAGAATGCTTTTCAAATAATGACTGATGAAACAAATGCTCTGAATAACTGGATAAGCCCACAAAACAGCTTGTTCCCCTTATTAAATAGCAGAAAGGCAACAAGCCTCATACTTGAATGAAATTATATCAACGTTTCAGAAAAACAATATAATACTAATGGTGTAGTTGCACACATAACAAGTAATATAAGAGTCGTTGAAGGGTGAAAATAAGCAAAATTTACAAACCACCAAGTTCCAGTTCACTTGAATGTCCTTTGTACTGACTGTAATGAAAGAACACTCGAAGATCCTGTTCAGCACACTCAATAAAGCCATAACTTTGCTGCAAAAAAACATGCATAAATGTTATAGAAGAAAGACTGAATGTGCTTTTAGAGGGGATGAAATTAGGGAATATATATCAATAACATTATGGAAGATGTCATTAATACACATGTTGATGTCAAAGCACTCATTGCTGGTCAAATGTAGTTCAATACAGTTAAATGTAGATGAATGTATTCAAATGTGGTTGAATGTACACAAAAGTAGATGAATGTATTCAAATGTAGATGAATGTATTCAAATGTGGTTGAATGTACACAAAAGTAGATGAATGTATTCAAATGTAGATGAATGTATTCAAATGTGTTGAATGTACACAAAAGTAGATGAATGTATTCAAATGTAGATGAATGTATTCAAATGTAGTTGAATGTACACAAAATAGATGAATGTATTCAAATGTACATGAATGTATTCAAATGTGGTTGAATGTACACAAAAGTAGATGAATGTATTCAAATGTAGATGAATGTTTCCAAATGTGGTTGAATGTACAAAAAAGTAAATGAATGTATTCAAATGTAGATGAATGTTTTCAAATGTGGTTTAATGTATACAAAAGTGGTTGAATGAATTCAAATGTGGTTTAATGTCCTCAAACAGGGTGCAAATTAATATTACACAAATGGGCATGTGAATTTCAGTTGAAGGTATTTTCACAATCTTAGGTTAGAAATTGATACAATATCTGTCATGTTGGATTTAAGTGCCTATGTCGAATAATGGGACTTGATATCATTAGAATTATCTTAAAACATAGATTACTGGGGCAAACAGTCCAAATGCAAGTTTCAATAGAAAGCTTTTCAAATTGACCAGAACAAAAAATAAGACACCAAACAGTGCAAAACGGTTACAGCTTCCTCTACAAAGGCTATTGAAATCAAAAACATTTTTGGCAAACTTTTAGATATCATGCAAATGCACTTTTAGATGAACAAAGTGACATATTTTTTGTGTATTAAGAAACAAGTTTTTTGGTCATAGATAAATTTTTTACTTCTTCATGGTACATCTTATTTTTATCTTGCAGGAACTTACTCTACAAAAGCAACACCTTTGTAAAACAGCAGAATCTGCAGCAAACTTTTGCATTTCTCAATGTCACATAATGATCCATGAAAAAATTTAAAATAGTTGAGAAGCATTTTTTTTGCATTAATTTGGGTCCTTGACCAGTGCATAAAAACTTCATACTAAACTGACTTTGAATTGTTAAAATAACTTACACAAAGTTTTTCAATGACACCTGTTTCCCTGTGTAATACATGAACACCATTTGAAAGGTAATGGTCACTGATACCATAGTCCTGAGACCCATTTGTTCACATAGAATGTTTCTAAGTAATAAAAAAACATTATAGAATGTTTCTAATTAGTAAGAAACATCATAGAATGTTTCTAATTAGAAGGAAAACATTATAGAATGTTTCTAATTAGTAAGAAAACATTATAGAATGTTTCTAATTAGTAGGAAAACATTATAGAATGTTTCTAATTAGAAGGAAAACATTATAGAATGTTTCTAATTAGTAAGAAACATCATAGAATGTTTCTAATTAGAAGGAAAACATTATAGAATGTTTCTAAATGGTAAGAAAACATTATAGAATGTTTTTAAATAGTAGGAAAACATCATAGAATGTTTCTAAGCAGTAACAAAACGATATAGAATGTTTCTAATTAGCAGGAAAACATTATAGAATGTTTCTCATTAGTATAAAAACATTATAGAATGTTTCTAATTAGTATGAAAACATTATAAAATGTTTCTAATTAGTAGGAAAACATTATAGAATGTTTCTAAGTAGTAAGAAAACATTATAGAATGTTTCTAATTAGTAGGAAAACATTATAGAATGTTTCTAATTAGTAGGAAAACATCATAGAATGTTTCTAATTAGTATGAAAACATTATAGAATGTTTCTAATTAGTATGAAAACATTATAGAATGTTTCTAATTAGTATGAAAACATTATAGAATGTTTCTAATTAGTATGAAAACATTATAGAATGTTTCTAATTAGTAGGAAAACATTATAGAATGTTTCTAATTCGTAAGAAAAGGTTATAAAATGTTTCTAATTAGTAAGAAAACATTAACAGCAAAATGAAATGAAAATAAAATTTTTCATAAACAAAATGCAGTAGAAAGTACCTTCCATGAGTCTGTTGCCATATATGATTCACCAAAAAGAGAATTCTATTTGTTACACAAAGGATGCCAGCAATTTGAATTATAACTTTTTGCAAAATAATATATATGGCATATGTATAAAAATTCTCCTCTCAATTTTCCTAAATCACCGAATAATATAATCCATTTGCCGCACAAAAACAGGAGGCACAAATCTGCTGTGAATATTTAAGATTCTTCCGTGAAAGCTATGACTTGCCAATATGAAAGTTTCCTTAACATGGGCTGTGAGATGATATGGTTTGAAATTTCTCTATAGAATTTGAATTGGCGTTTCCTCATCTTTTCTGCTTTGCAGACATTTATTCCTAGCAAATAACCAGAAAAAGTAATTTAACACATTTCTTTAAATATATCATTTGCTCATCATCTAATAACATGGGACATTCAATTACATGTTTTGACTTATCAATAGTGCTGTAGAATATTTATCATCAAGAGCAGCAGTTAACAATCAATAGCACAACATGTATATACATACTTTGTAAGAAAAGACAAGTGCAGTGTCGTGATTGCAACAGACAAATGTCAACAGTTTATACCTGTTACAACAGACTATCTGTTGCACAACACATACATTTGTTTATTTAAATGTCTTCTTAACCAAAAGATTTTAAATTGACTATCATTAGTCACCATGTTTGTCTCGAAACATGATGACTAATGATTGTCAATTTAAAAGGTCAAATTAACGCCAACGGAGTACAAGGTGAACAAAAATGTAATGAAATATTTAAGAACTGACAATTGATATTGAAAAAGAAATCAATACCTTTTTGAGGACAAAATTTCGTCCATAACCACAACACTTTTCAAATTTTTACAATCCGCCATATTACATGATATCAGTGAACTCTTGAAAGTTGAAACACCGGGCACTTCCGGTCATCTGTATATGGACGTATTAACCGGAGATACTCGTGAGAGGGTCGGCTATGTTTTCCGTGACTATAGCCTGATTCGCTGTTTCGCACAAGTCTTCAATACCCTCATAAAGATACCTTCATGTTTCATTGTAATTGCCCGTATTTCATTTGTAACAAGTTGATATTTTCCGTAAATAAGCATAATTCGAAAGCAAATGTAAATATGGCCGTAAACAGAGATCAATCTTTCGGTGGTGTTCAGGCCGGTGTAGAAAAACGAGGAGAGGGGTTAACAACAGACTTTCATTAACGATTTGATTGTCGACTAACTTGAAACCACTCGGCTTGTTCCTTAGTATTCAACCAAAGGATGTGTTTTGCAATAGAGCTTTCTGACACATACATTTTTCATGTTTTGTAAAATGTCAAGTCGTTGCTTCAACCCATTTCTTCTTCTTCGTTAATCACTATCTACAGCCAAACACAACGTTCCTAGCACTCTCGCAATCAAATAATCAGGAAATTCAATTAACTCGAGAATTTTGGATATTTTCTATGAATATCATCATGACGATAAGAAGAGAAAACAAGAAAGAACAAGAACATGCAAAAGTACCATTTTTAAAACTAACAAAGTTGGTAACAAAGTAAACTCCATCCACTAAAACTTCCTGTTTCTACGTCAGGTAAATTAATGAGATGACAGTGTGTACATATTCATATATATTCCACAAACTCCAAAATACATGAATGTATCAAAATCCCCCCCCATTAAAATAAAATACTGAGCATGCTACGCCACTGTTTGTTTGTAATTTAACTTTATTTCTTATTTAATGTATTTAGATAAAATTATTACAACCGTTATCCTATTTCAAATATTGACTACATCCTTAGCCTAAAATTTGATGTTATGTTCCAAATTGTTTTCAAATACTGTTCAGAATCATTCACTCGTTCACTCTTATAGTTAAAAAAATAAAATTCTATGCTTAATCATATTCTTCTATAGTACGTTAAATTTCAGAAAACGTCTAATAATTTCGCGAAAAAAATTCAACTTCCCCCATTTTTGAGAACTTTTAGTAGCCGTCAAATAACTACAATACGCAGTTCACTGCACTGTAGCAGAGTTTGAATTAATCCTAATAAAAAGAATGACCAATATAACAAGAATAATGAGCAAAATTGCAGCTACAACTACACCAGCAATAGCTCCAATATTTTCACCGTCTACAAGATAAAATGAATGACAAATCATAACATTACCAACCAATATTGTCTTTCAGATTGATAACGTTAACTGCATAAAGACTTGGGAAATTCAGTTGAAAATAATAATTCCATCTGCAGCAGGAGCACACCATGAACTTATGGATATAAATTGCTTTAGAAGCACTACGACTCTTAGAGAAGGCAGTAAACAAAATCTGGGAATTTTTCTGCGTTTTAATAGAGTTATCACAAACATGACCTTAATAGAAATTTTGTTGAAATTCATTACAACATTAGAACTGGTTTGATTTGATGAAAGCAATGATGAATCATACTTTCTCCATTCACAAAAGTCGCAAATTAAATTGAAAGAAAGAGAAAGAGACACTGAAGATTTGTGCCTGATTTGCAATGGTTTTATTAAATGGTTAAATTCCAGTGGAATCAATATGACAAGAAAACGTAAGTATCTTGTTAATAACAAATACGGTTGCGAATAAATTCTGATGAAAACGTTAATAAATGGTCGCACCTGATCATTTATGAAGCACGCGAACTGAAATATTTTTAATTAGTGCCAGGCTTTAGCGGGCCATTATGAATAATTCAATATCCAAGAGTAGCAATGTTTATATTTTGACCATCATTTGTAAATGAATAATTGTGAAAGTCTCTGCGAAAATACAGCACCAATATACAGATGTAAGTGTGGAAGATATGGCCTTAGTCATAAGTCACAAAGACTGTGTTGTTAAAGTTAAAGTAACATTTATTCTCTTCTTCGTCACAACTTTTCATCGCGACTACATAGAAATATCTGCAAATTTAAGGCAAAACATTTTTAAAATACATGCATAACCTCTGCTTTTGTTAATGGTTAAAATATATGTTATGCATGCATCCGCAATGCCAAAGAAAGCGACGAGTCATCAAAGCTTTCCCAGAGAGATATTTAGACTACCTCGATCCCACATGAAACCAACTGTCCTATACTTAGCCATGAATCCGAAAACTCAAAAATACTTTTAAGTTCCTTTAAGTTTTTTACAATAATTTGCTCTAGTAAAATACATAGTTACCGATATTCCAAATTTGGATTTTGCAACAAATAAGTCAACGTATTTCCAATCTGCTTGGTGGACAGTTCAGGTGCCACTAAATAAATAAACTTGAATAAATTTATCATCTTAAACAAACCTGTGCATAAACCATAGACAACTTACATCCATTTGTAAATACCCATGTAACATTGCTGTAACATCCAGATCCCACTATTGTAGAAGCTAAAACACGAACATAATATTTTGTCCCTGGTTTCACATTATTTATGTCCAAACGCTGTTCCTCGATCATATACTTCATTGAACAGGTTTCATTCTCCAAATGTGTAATACAAACAGTGTAATTGACTATCTTTCCATTTGTTTCTTCTTGTCTGGTGGCTCCCACGTAACTGATAACGATGAACTGCTTAAGGCGACAATTTGAACATTTAAAGGTGGACCTTCGGGAACTAAACAAAATAAAACATTTGTTTTAAAGATTTATATAAAATATTAAATACACTTTAGAAAGAAGTCCTAACAAGTGTACACTGTCATTGTTAACTTAAATATAATACAGTATAAAAAACATGATTGAAATAAATATCGACCAGAAAAGATTTGAGCTTTCAAAAGTCGTCTATGGCAATAACACCATCAATGCAACAACAGCCGATATGTATACACAAAACTGATATGAACTCACCATCTTCAGCAGTTCTAAAAGTAGCTGTAGTTGATCTACCAAAGCCTTCAGAATTGCCAGCGGTTACATTAACTTTATACGTTGCGTAAGGAACAAGATTCGTAATGTTGTACGGTTTTTGTCAGTTACCTCCAGAGTTTTATCAAAACAATCATAGTATCCTTCAGCAAAATCAATAGATATCTTGTAAGAGGATTCGAGATATTTGTACCAAGTTTTACACCAGTTTTTGGGATGTTTCCATGATATCTCGAGGTACGTCGATGCAGATTTGGTTGCAATGAGATCTGTTGGTTTGTCTGGGAGTAAGTCTGCACGATAAAGAAAAATCTACAAATTGAACCATGTGTAGCCCTAAGTGAAATAAGTGTTCTGCTTTTTCTCCAATAACACGTGTTAAACTTAACTGCATGTTGAAAAGGCTTGTTTCAATAAGTTTATTTCAACAGAGAAAGAAACTAACACTTCAGCCTTCATGGAAAATTGTTCTGTTTTGTCAACTAACTCATGTTTAATTAATACTCAGAGAAAAACTTTATATATTGAAAATTAAGTGCTTACAGTGCAAAGTAAACCTGGTATATTTTTTCTACCTCTTACCTCCACCACAAATTTCAATTCGTAAACACGGTGCACCAACAAATTTCAATGGAAAGATTCGCAAAGCTTTGGATTTAAGGCCACCAGAAAACTTTTCTATAGCCGCATCATTGTAACCATTTTGTTTCCTAGATAAATCTGGAATAAAACAAAAAAAGATTTTCGTGTATTTGCAGAGCAAGGTTAGAGAAAAGAAAGGTTTGTTTAACGCTGTCCAGAGGAGAGTAGTTTATGCATTGTCTATGTATCTCTTCAAATCATGCACATAGCTACAATTTAAACTTTATAATCAAATGCAAGAGTCCTTCGTAGTGCAGGAGTAACCAAGACAATCAACACAGTGACGTAGCTAGCCCACAAATTTGGTCGTGCTATATGTAAATTTCTCAGAGCTCACTAACTGTAAAAACAATAGATCTCTAAAGAAATGAATAATGATAATGATCTGAAATTTACATAGAACCAGCAATTTTGCGTGCCGGCTACACCACTGAATCAACATCTGCACACAAGTTTGTATATAAATAGCAATTTAAAAGTTTACTTAGTTTATAACTTCATTCCTTTTTTAAATTTCCCTTTAAATTTATAATATACAAATTCGATAAGTCTACTGTTACCTTCTGGGATTTTTCAGATTTCCAGTTCACACCATCAATGTTTGTCTGCAAGTGATATTTAGTTACAAAGCTTGAACTTGAACTGTCTCCAAAGATAGTGATAACGTTAACTGTATAAAGACTCGGAAAATTCAGTTGAAGATAATGACTGCCATTAGCAGCAGGAGCACACCATGAACTACCACTGGATATTCTTGCTTTAGCAGCACTACGACTCTTTGGGAAGGCAGTAAACCAAGAATCTGGGAATTTTTCTGCGTTTTTTAATAGAGGATTATCACAAACATGACCTTAAATAGAAAAGGATTTGGTTGAAATGCATTATAACATTAGAACTGGTTTGATTTGATAGAGAGCAATGGTGCACTCTCATATTGTTCTCCATTCACGTAAAATTGGAAAATTAAAAACTGTTTTCTTAAGAAAGAAAAAGAGCACAAGATATATTGGAGGAATACGACTGATTTTGCATGCTTTTATTAAATAAGGTTAAATTCCAGTTGGAATCAAGCCAGCTATGACAAGAAACCGTAAGTATCTTGTCAAATAACAACAATACCGTAGCGATTTAAATTCCATTAAACAGTGAACGTCAATCGTATTGCAGAGGAATGACAATTGGACATTTTTTGAAGCACGGAATGAAGTAGCAAGAGTAAAATTAATTTAATCCTCAGTATTCGCAGCAATCCTGTTTTAATTATTTATTATTTAAGAGTAGCAATCGTTTATATTTTGTGATGCTATATTTCTTTTGTTATGTAAAAGAAAAATTGTGAAATTCTCCAAGTCAGCGTAAAATACAGTGATACTACAATGTCAGATGTAAGTCTTGATGATAGAGGTAAGTCATGATGCTTAACAATAGACAGATGTAATTTGAGAAGACAAAAGTAACACATTCATTCCTTAAATTCTTCGCTAAAAATCTTTTTCTAACGTCATACAAATGTGTCCTGCAATACGTTAATACATTCAAAAAATTGAATGAGAATGCTTACATGTAACGTACGAGTATTGAGAGCAATCATTATTTTGAGTGATAGCACATTGAGATAAATCGTTCACTCGAGCATCACATTTGACAATTCCAGGTATAAACGATTGATGCATCAAAGATAATAGTGACATTGAGCCTCCCCCAGATGCTGCGGTAGGATAACCAAGTTGTTTACAAATAATCATCTTTATTTTGTGCAAAAGACCTTTGTTGCAAATGGTGAAGTTTCTATACTTGGTAATAACATTCACGACACCTTCGTTTGGAAGATTCGACTTAGACAGGCGTACATCCATAACTACACAAATCAAAATTATTTTTCCTTTATTTGTGATTATGGCGCATATCTTAAAGTGAAATCTGTGTTTTAGAAGTGGTTTTATGAACATAAATATGACAAATCTCGTCCATGAATAAAATATATACACGGAGTTTGAATATCAGAAGAACACAGAAGGTGACATTAACTTAAAAAATTTTAGTTTGAAAGCACTTAACCAGAAATGTTTTCCACATTCTGATGGACACAGTATCTTATAGATTTACACTTAAAGTTGGTAAGCACTGTTTTGATTTTAATCTTTAAGTTGACAATGAACTACAGGCAAATAAGTTGAACTGAGAACTTTTCTCTTGTGTTGTAAACACGAATCACAACAAAATGTGTCTAAGTGATTATGTGAATCATTAATGAAACCAGAACAAATACCGTTTTTTATAGGTGAGCGCTGCGTTTAGCTTCCCAATTCATAGGAATTGTAATGAATCTATCTTTGTATATATATACAGTATATGTAAAAATTCTGTAGTGTGAAGTCATGAAAATATGAATACAAATGCAATTAAATGTCACTTTTGGCCTACATAGAATGGCCAAAAGATTTTAAAAGAAATAGATTTGATAAATCAAATTGACTGGAAGAAGATATGTTTCCATGAACAAAGTTTGCATTAACAAACTAAAACACAAAATTCACCAAACCATTAAACTTATGAAAAATATTTAGGACAAGTTTAAATGTCACATTATAAAAGACACTAAATTATACAATACGAGATAAAACTGCATAAACAAACCACGCCTGGTGAAGACACCCGACGAAAATTCAAATTTGTGTCAACTTTTCTAAATTGATAACGTACATAGTATAAAAATGAGCACCATACCATTGCGCATTAAGGTCAAAATTTGTCCCGAAGCTCTTTAATAATAAGCAAAATATAATCTGCCCATATAATACTTACGATTGCAAATTTTTCTGTATGGCATACTTGTGTAGTTACATTGATATTCAAAGTAAAGATATTTCTCCAAACCAGGACAAATATTTGAAGGGAAATGATTATCATCAACAGTTACATTACATTTTCTTTCACCATCACAGTAATTTTTAAGGTCACATGTTACATCGACACTACAATTGTAATCAAAACTCCAGCCACAAATGCTTCCTTTTCTCAATCCACGATATTCTGCAACTTTTATCACCATATATTGATTATTAGAACAACTAACGTCCGATATATTTTTTCCATCACATGTTACTGAGCCTATTAAAGACACACAAAAAATAAGTAAATTCATATCTATACAAGCTTATTTGTCAATTACTGTAAAATAAAACTTGATTTGATAAAAATAAAGTGTGTGATGGCAGTGACTTCACTTGCGCCATTCTTATATCTGCTGCCTTGCAGTAGCTTTTAATTAGAGTTTAAGTATATATACGCTAACTGGATGAATATTCTCACTTGCCAAAATTGAATCGCTGATTTTCTTCTTTTTTACAATTAGCCAGTCGCAAGTAGGAATAATCTTCTGAAACAAATATGCATTTATTATAGCGTGAATAGAATAGACCACCCCAATTTGTTTGGGTTATGGCATTGATGGCTCCGCATTCTCCATTAAAATTTCCATCAGATAAGTCCACAAAAATTTCATTTCTCACAAGACACCTTGTTGTATTCGACCTATTGATGGAGCCAGATTGTAAAAATTTAAAATAAGTTGACCCCTCAAAACAATTCATTGTATACAATACGGTAGAGGGTAAATCATCCACAACACACTCTCCTGACTGAACATGTTTGATGAAAAATCCATTCATATCTGAAAAAGGACAATGATACATGATAAAATTGATTGAAAATACCACACTCTACAAAATATATATATAAAAATAATATGACTTTATGAAAAATAATTTAGCATACTGAATTCTATCAATATAGGAAAAAACACTCCAAAAAAATGTCATCTTGAAATTCAACCTTTCTAAAGAATTAAATAAACCAATTGCTGTTGAGAGTCATTTTATAAATAATGGCATATGCAAGACTTTAAGGCATCCAGCATGGAGCATTGAGCTAAAATACATGGAACGCTACCTGTAATACAAAACCCTAATAATTTTTTAAAGCCGTCATTTTACCCCAGACACACAAGACTTTACCCAGACACGAGTGTGTAGTCAATCAATTTTTACTCCGCGAGAGGAACTCGAAACACTAAACGATTGTGTCTTGGGTAAAATCTCGCGTGTGTAGCGTAAAATATGGTTCAATTATATGCTTGATGTAGCGTTACATGTATTTTAGTTCAATGGCATGGAGACTGAAAAGTTTTAAAACCAAGTTGAAAAGTGTAAAAAATTAATTAATAAAAATTTCACGGCGCACGGTCTGTTACGATGGAAAAGGGAGAATTATGGTTTATTTACGCAATTGAAATATTTGAAATAATTTAAGATTGTTTGCTGAACCTGATTTTTCAACTGTATAAACTCCCATGACTTTCGTTTTTGATGAAAAGGAAGTTTATCTAAGCACTTATACAAATTTGTGCCCAGAAAAAGTTGATGATTTAGGTTAGTATTATTCAAAGTTTAAGACAAGGAATATATAATTCAATGTAAAACTGAATTGTGAACTCTGTAAGCTGTACACTCCTTTTGGTGGAGTTCATTTAAGTTGTGCTGTGAAATAGTGCTCTTGATAATAAGAATACCAGAGTTGCACAATTTAAAATTCCAAACAATTTAAATAAATATCATGCCAGGGCTTATACAAAATCGTGAGGCTTTTTTACGGGTTTATAAAGGTTTATACATGCAGAGGAGAGATGCATACAAATATGTACAGGGATATTATACAGAGGGTTAATATACAACGAAATTTATTTCTACTGAAGTGATATAAGAACATTCTCCCGTTAAAAATATTTAACAATTTTTGGATTAAGTTGAGCATGATATAAAAGAATATTCAGACCGAGGTCAATTGGATATCTACCGAAGCAAATCTGAGGGGATAGCGCTGACTGCAGTCTGATTGAAAATTTTGCGGTTCGCTTTCGTCTATTTCCTGTAAATACGCGATGAAAACTCTCTGACAAACAGTTTAACACTTTCGGTGTTTTTGTCTATATTCCCGATAATTTGAGCAGAGTAAAACACTTGAAAGTCTCGATGAAGATTCTACCAAAATATTTCTTGTATATACAGTTGTCTCATAAAGAAAATTCGTCACCTACAGGTAATTTTCAATGTTTTCTAGGTGATAGTGTATTGACAATTATTTGAAGGCTTTTAGACAATCACAATCGAGATTGCATCACCGTTGTATTATAATAATAAAGCTTAACTAGCACAGATCAATATATGAACATCTTAACCCTAACCCTCACACCCATTAACAAACAACCAAAATCTTCCAACGTGATCGTTAATGAATAAAATCAATAAACCCAAAAATAACCAAGACACGCTCTTGAATTGAGCTTTTACTCTTTTACAGGTTTACATTATAATATATGTATGACGAATTAAACATGTTTGGCTGTTCCGGGGTGTATTCTATTGGCTTTGCAACTGCAAAGAAATTGACTTAAGAGTATACGTACATGATGAATTAAATATAGGTCAAAGTGTCGTATGGATTTGAGCGAAGTTGAATATGAAGCATTACAATCACATTGGTGTACTATAAATTAAACTGACACAGGAGAAACTAAAATGAACTGCCCTTGCACGTACCTTGTGGTTTTAGGTTCACGTTGACGACAACATAACAGGTGTGATTTTTTCCACCGTATAAAACATACTGGTAAGGGATTTTGTGTTGTCCGATTCCAAACCAAACAGAAGGTTTATAATATGACTTTTCTATTCTTTCATTTATGTACTTATGTGAACACGTGAAGTCTTCTGGTTCTTTCCAATTTGCAAGTACCCAACGATGCAATGTAGTAGTAATGTTCGAAGTAATCGGGCTATATCCACATGTCCCTAACAAAAAATTAAGTTATCTTTAACTGGTTGTCCAGAGAAAAAGAACAAGTAGAAAGTGACACTCATTTGGCCACAAAATATTACATACTATTCACATTGAATTGAAAGTCCTCCTTAAACCCAAATAGACAATAACTATACAGACTTTATTATATAACTGCATATATATATATTTTTTTTGACTATACTGTCATATTACTTTGCTTTTGTATCTAGACAGAGAAACAATGAACGAGATATTATTCTGCGTCAATGCTGTGAAGCTAGTGTATCCAAATCAGTTGAGTACTTTAGCATGTACCTTACGGGTTCAAACCATTTACTTTAGGTACCTTACTTTATTGCACTTTCTAAGAACACGGTTTCAATTACATATTTAAATTAAACAGTACCTCAGTAATATAAGTGTTGTGATTGTTTGCCAAGTACATTTCCAGTCGATGTTTTGTACTTAGTGTAAACTGAACTGTTGTTTACTTTACCTTCGAGTGGACATATTTCACTAAACATTTTAAATCGCTCCAAAAGATATTTCTTCTCCTCAACACAACAACGTGTACGAGTATTGTTGCATTTCGAATCGATTTCAATTTTGTCCTCCACAAATTTCTTCCATTCTTCCTCACAAAACTCAAGTTCTTCATTCCAACCCATTTTCATTGTGAACCCTTGACCAAATAACAGCCACAATAACCACCATATCATTAAACTCATCATTGCATAGATCCAAGGATATACAGTAAAGCTCTAAATTATAATTGATTGTTGGATGTATGTACGTTATCACAGAAGACTTTAAATTTATATTTAGATCGACAATGACTACGTCACAATTATATCTGTGATGCAAGCAGATCACGATCAAAACGTATTTTTGAGCAATATATGAGCATTATCTAAAAAAGTCATTTCAGCAAAATTGTGTAGCGAGAAAAACTGTTCAGAAATAGATCGAGTTAGTCTCATATGGCTGCATGATGGCTCTCTTATTGGTAGCCACTGTAGCTATTATATAGGTACGTGGTTATAATTTTTTTTAAATAATGAAACTTGGTTAACTTTAAATTTATGCTTTATTCTTCTTACTCGGTTCAGTCTAAGAGGTTATTACCTCGCAGGCTCGAAGAGCGAATAAACAAGTTAATAAAAGGTTTATTATAAAGTAATATTTAAACTGAAACGAAGCCTTTCTTTACTTTTTTGTCCTCGCTGTTTTGTAAAAGTTGGCATTCTCTCCTGTTTTCTTTTTGTTTTCAAATTTTTTGCTGTTTGTTTTTCGAAATTTGTTTAGATTTGTTTGTAAAATTACCTGTTATGAATCGCTGGTTTGAATTATTATAGATCTGAGAGACTGTATATGGTCATTGTCAACATTAGGTCATTAACATTATTTAACTATGTAATAACATGGTGGCCTCTTGCTATCACAGGGACGTTTACTGACATATTTCCTCATCAAAGTATTCATTAGGGACGTTTAGACTAAATATTCCTCGTCAGTACAATCAATAGGGACGTTTAGACTAAATATCCTCATCAACAATGAAACAATACGCCTATTCCTGGATTGCATGCAATTTCCACGGAATTATGAAAAAAATTGACTCAATTCTGATCTATGAAAACGCTTAATAGTTGATGTATTTAGCCTTTGAAAACCACAATATTTCGAGGGAAGGCCGGCATTATGTAAGCTGCTAAACTCTGTCAAAGGAAAAAATTGCTCTATATTAAATGCTAACAAAGCAACGAGGATAAACAAACATTCGTTTTACCATCAACTGTAGCCAACGTAATTTATTACATCTTACCTTTTGTTCTTTTATTGTCTTTACGTCTTTGTTTGAAAACGCAAAAGGCAACTGCAGAAATACACCTTAAACAAACAGAGAAAATGAATATTCATACAAGTCATGGTAAACAATAGAGTTGTGGTTTTCGCAAAGTTTTACTTGTAACTGCTGGCCAAAGCTGTTTCCTTCAGTGTGGAGTAGCGTGAATTGTGAATATATAATCATGCACTTATGCCACTGCCCCAATTATTTAACATTTTATTGAATTTGTTTTGCCTCAAATCCTACCCTTTACGAATCAACAATAATACTTTAAATGTTTAGAAAATTTGGAAACAAAGAAAATTAAGATACATACATTGGTTGACGAAGCAATGTTATAGAAGATAAGTTTTGATATTTTACCTCTGTTTAGACAAAGCGCCGAAGCAAAATAATGCATCTAAACTGGGTGAACACGGCAAAACAGGTTAATGACTTCAAGTGCTAAATGACAAAAAATGATATTGTTCCCATTGCGTATTTTAAGTTCTTAAATATCAACTTTGTTAACAGTAAATTTAATTTTGCTAACATTCATTGGTAAAAATTGTAACCCAAATACAACAATTTGTGTCGAACCGAACTATACAGTAAAATTTACAACATGAAACCAGCTTTTTTTATTTATTACAACTCTTTGTTCACAAGACGACAGCAGCACAAATACAATGAGAAATGGCAAAAAAATAATGCATCAAAGAATAATGACTTATGAATGGAAAATGGTTTAAGTGATTGGGTTCAGCGGTAAAGAATTAAGAACAACAATTTAACATTTCAACATTAATTTTAATTTGGTAAAAAGCAAACTTCTAGTTGATGCATTGGACAGCCACTCTGTTGGATATTATCAAAGTCTACTACAACAAGCAAGGATCATTTCAATTTAGGCAATTTTCACAATTTTCTTCGTAACTTAGCTATGTTAATTAGCTGTAAAGTGTTGTTGTTAAGCCTACGTTTTGATGTGAACAGGTGGAAGGAAAAGCATGTAGAAACACATAAATTTTGAAATACCGTGTTAAAGTTAGTTGTATAATAAGTCCCTTAAGTCCCTTACTAAGCAATCGCAAATTCTTTAAAGAGAAATTCGGATCATTTAATTCTTTATGTGCAGACCTCGCAGGCTCGAAGAGCGAATAAACAAGTTAATAAAAGGTTTATTGTAAAGTATTATTTAAACAGAAACGAAGCCTTTCTTTACTTTTTTGTCCTCGCTGTTTTGTAAAGTTGGCATTCTCTCCTGTTTTCTTTTTGTTTTCAAATTTTTTGCTGTTTGTTTTTCAACATTTGTTTAGATTTGTTTCTAAAATTACCTGTTATTAACCGCTGGTTTGAATTGTTATAGATCTGAGAGACTATATATGGTCATTGTCAACATTAAGTCATTAACAACATTTAACTATGTAATAACATGGTGGCCTCTTGTTATCCCAGGGACCTTTACTGACGTATTTTCTCATCAAAATATTCATTAGGGACGTTTATAGTAAATATTCCTCATCAATAATAAAACATTTCTGAAGTGAACAGGTGCACAGAAACACGTAGAAAAACATAAAATAAAACTCAACATCCGCTGCATTATAGGGCCGTATTTAACAAATCGGAAGGTTGGGTAGCATTGCATGCTTAATAGGATGTTATGAGAATTAATCATATTTACATAAGGTGTTAGAATACAAAATGAGACGGTGTCAAATAGATTATATAAATTACGAAGTTGGGAAGCAAAATATAGTGAAATTAAAAGAGTTGAATAGAACTGCCTTGGACAGATGTTAAGCCATAGTAAAGGAAACATACCAAAGGTCCACTTTGCTGAGAAACTTTCTGCTGTACATATAATTAGATAACAGACTGCCGTTAGCCAGCTCAGCACTCCTATTACTCAAAAAAAATCAATTTACTAGCTTCCAATATAGTAATCATACGCGCAATGAGATATACGTAGCACAAAAAATTCAATGGACTTGCTCTACTGTATTTTTACTATACTGTCGATAAGTGAAGACTTTTAGCTATTGACTATGAGGTTCTCATTAAGGGAGAGTTTGTATGAATCGTGAGAAGAGGAAATTCTTTCAAAATCGTCCATGTTGGGGGTATCTCCAGACATGTTTATGTTAGCAAAAATGCTCGATAACGCAAGGCGTGAGGTTTTGTTACCTTCAAATGGAGATATTCTCATGTGCTACGAAAATCCGATGTGTAAATGACGTGTGATTTGACCCACATACAATACGTACAGCTATGACACTTTAATGAACACACAACATCCAATCTCTGAGGTTTGAGAACTTTTTCCTTAAAGAGGAGAAAGAAAATATACGTTAAGAAAGGTGGAAAACAAATTTCATTAGTACATGCGGAAAAGCGGCAGCACGAAGGCGATTTATTTATGTGTGTATTTGAATGGAATGCATACCTGTGAAAAAAAGACAGAAGTAGATGGATTTTTTGTGAGCAGTAATGACGGGAGGTTTGGGGAAAAAGGTGTTGTCGAGGAAGCGACGTGTTATTTGGTCAAATACGCGGGAAAGAAAGCCTTTTTTGATGAGTAACTATCTCGTAGATTCAAGTAAAACAAAAATTTTCAAAGGCTAAACAAAAGTTTGTAAAACATTTTAAAGGTTTTAAAGATTTGTAAAAAACTTTCAAAGATTTGAAAAAGATTTTCGAAAACAAAGATTTGATGAAATATACACACGTGAGGCTAGTGAACGTTTGCGATAAACGGAACGCAGCTGCAATGCCTCGTACGTGGGTTAAGCCACACGTCCTTACAGACCAGATTTTCGAAGCATTTGGGAAAATTTTCCCTTGCAGGTAACCAAATGTCAAGCCCTGCAACGAAAACAACCGTGCACCAATTAACATAGAAAGCCTGCAAATTTGTCTTGCTATATAAATAATCTTTACTAACTGTATTAAAACAACAGATTTCTAAAGAAACAATGCAGATGATTTACAAAGCACAACCAAATATGAGGGTATGATACGTTACTGAGAGCAAAGTTCGAATACAAGCACGATATTTACAGAAGAAATTCGGTAACTTCCATACAACATAGGATGATCATAAATAGCGTTGGACGATTATCAAAAAAAATCAGCTCATGATTATTTTTTAGGAAATTATCACGATATTCAATAATATCGCGATAAATACGATAACAAAATGCACCACATTGTTTTTAAATTTTGATCAATAAAATGAGCTAAACATAATCAACAAAGTAACTAAAGTTTTATGATAGTTACTCAATATTCAATAACAGTTACCGGATGATACAAATGCAGCGGACACACAGCGCAAGCAAAGCATGCAATTTCATTGTTTAGCGCATCAATACATAAATATCAGTGATTTAGTCTAGCTGTTGTACTTTACTATATCGTATTAATTTGGTAAATTTATGTTTGAGCTACGTTTTCCGGAAATAAAAAGAATCATTTGAGTTCTATAAAGCTAAATGTAGATACAGGCAAAGCAATCTCATGATAGTCATCAAGCATGACAATAACTTCGATAAATCGATTTATCGAAATATCACCCAACCCTAATCATAAATGTGTCAAAGTGTTGGTAAACATCAAAATCCCTTTCAAACATGAATTCAATAATAAAAATTTTTATGGTCTATTTTGTAGTGGCTGCATAGTCCATTAATGAAAATAGCGCTGGGTGTTGATGCAATTGGGGCTTCAAGAGAATAATAAAGACAAGCTTACCGCTGTTTCAACGAACTGTGGCGTCTATTCTGGATCAGCTTGATGCATTGGAACGCATTAATCGCTTGGACAGTTTTGACTCGGTCGACAAGATTTGAGATAGCAATATAGGTACCACAGTGACCTGCTCCGTCACTGGATTAAGAAAATAAATATTTTGTGTTTGTTGCAAAATTCTTGTAGAGATCTTCACTTAGACCTTAAACCGCCAAATTATAACCACGAGAGCGACGAGGTTAATCACTTGCTAATATTTGAGTCACACGT